ACCTGTGTCAGGCAAGGTTGCTTACTTTCACTCCTTTGCTTTCTTCTGGTGATCGACTGGATCATGAAGATGTCAACACCTGAAGGAAAGCATCGGATACAGTGGACAGCCGAAATACAGCCGGACGATCTAGACTTCGCAGATGATCTGGCCCTTCTAACCCAAACGCAACAACAAATGCAGGAAAAAACGACCAGTGTAGCAGCAGCCTCAGCAGCAGTAGGTCTCAATATACACAAAGCGAAAAGCAAGATTCGCCGATACAACACAGCATGCACCAACCCAATCAAAATTGACGGGGAAGATTTGGAAGATGTAAAAACCTTTACATATTTGGGCAGCATCATTGATGAACATGGTGGATCTGATGCAGATGTGAAGGCGCGGATCGGCAAAGCAAGAGCAGCATATTTACGACTGAGGAACATCTGGAACTCAAAGCAACTGTCAACCAACACCAAGGTCAGGATTTTCAATAAAAATGTCACAACAGTTCTACTGTATGGTGCAGAAACCTGGAGAACTACGAAAGCCATCATCCAGAAGATACAGGTGTTTATTAACAGTTGTCAACGCAAAATACTTCGGATCCGTTGGCCGGACACTATTAGCAACAACCTACTGTGGGAGAGAACAAACCAGATCCCAGTGGAGGAAGAATTGCTGGGGAAAGCGCCCAACTGCGTCACAAGACAAGCCCTCACATGGAATCCTCAAGGCCAAAGGAGGAGAGAAAGACCAAAGAACACATGACACCGAGAAATGGAGACAGACATCAAAAGAATGAACAAAACTGGGTAGAACTGAAAAGGAATGCCAAGGACAGAATAGGTCGGAGACGGCTGACCGGCGGCCTGTGCTCCACTGGGAGTAACGGTCGTAAGCATATAAATGATAGGTACTGTTATGACTATCAAATTTCGACTCCCGTAATTTGACCATTTGTCCAATTATAGCGTTAATTGACGAGGAACCATGATAAATTTAAGCGGATTCGCTACCGAGATTTATACTCTGTCCTCCATTCCTTAGTAGCCAAACAGGTCCGCAACTTAGTTTTGAGTCCAACAATATCCCGACCATACTCCATTTTACGACGAGAAATAATGAACCGTCTATCTTTATCAGATAGCCAAAGAATTCAGGGTCTATTTTAATGCGAAACATTGGGTGATGTGTCATCATCACAGTTTTCACACCACCTTCACATCTTAGTGAGAGACAACACAGCGAGTGAAGCAGTCCTAAAACAAGGAGTACACAAGCTCTCCCATACTACGTTCAACACTTTTCGGATGCACAGGAACCAGAAACCTCTCAACTTCACTTAGCAGTTATTACAGATAGAACAATTGAAAGATGCCCCCAGCTGGATCATGTAAGATACATAATACAAAAAAGAAGGATCATCAAAGGACCAGGTGATAGTAGAGCTAATCGTGAGTGTTAAAAATCCTATTGATGTTGTCAGTAAAGTGCAAATGGGTGATAGAGACAGGAGCAGGTCACCAAGATTCAAGTCAGAAACGTCCAAACGAGCTGGATAGTTCTGTTGGTATCTATGGAAGGTTGTGTCAAATGAAAACTGAAGGGCCATCCGTGTTTGTTTGACCCAGGAGATTATCACCAGACAAGCTTAAAAGTACTGAGCTAAATTCGACCACATGCTACAGCTGGGTATTATTCTTCCGTCTGATGGACAATGGGCAACCCCTTTGCATATGGTCCGGAAGAAAAGTGAAGGCGATTGACAACCGTGTAGGGATTACAGGTCTGTCAACCGTCAAACAATAACAAACAGGTGTACAATACCTCAAATCTAAGACTTGACAATTGGTTTACAGGGTATGAACACATTTACTAACATTGACTTGGTCAGGGGATATCATAATATCCCAGTAGTTGAAAAGGATATCCCCAAAACAGCTATTACTACACCTTTAGGACTGTTCAACTTTGTACGCATGCCATTCGGCCTGAGGAAAGCGGCATATATATTTCGAAAATGTATGGATAACCCATTTCGGGATATTCCTTTTGTATAGGGGTGTGTAGACAATTAGTTAATTGCTAGCCAGGATTTAATATCACATGAATAGCACGTGAGAGCAGTGTTAAAACGGCTAAATGAAGATGGAATGAACATACATCAAAGTGTATTTTTGGTGTTAGAACTCTAGAATTTTACGAACACTTAATAAGTTCAGAAGGGATTGCACTGATCAAAGAGGTGCACATTACTAGACAATACCCCATACCAAGTTCTCTAACACAACTTAGAAGGTTTCTACGTTTGTTTAATTTTTATAGAAGATTCATACCCAGTTATGCGGAATTAGTGTTACGTTTAACAGATTACCTAAGAGGTAAACCAAAGGAATTTGAAATGACTTCTGAGGCTGTTAAACAGCTAAAGGATAATCTAGATCAAGTATCCACATTAACGTATACGAATTCCCATTGGTACAAAGCAGTGGCCGGTATTCTTAGACAAACTGGTTAAAAAAAGTCTGCAAACCGATTACGTTCTTCTCAAAAAGACCCACTTCAGCAGAGACGAACTATTTTGCCTTCTGACGACAAATTCTTGCGATCTACCTAGCCATTAAGCAATTTATATATATGTTGTAAGGTGGAGAGGTTATAGTTTATACGGATCGTGAACCACTAACCGACGGATTAAAAGCCAGTGCCGATGAATACTCTCCTCGAGACCCGACACCTTGACTATATATCACAAATCACTAGTGATATCCGCATGTTAAAGGTTAGTACAGTTAGGTGGCAGATACATTATTTTGGCTAGAAATGAACATAATACAACAATCTTCAGTAAATTTAGAGACGTTGAGAAACAATCAGAAAGAAGAACCTACTTATAGAAAAGAACTCTAGTCTCGAATTTAGAAAGCTACCGTCACCTATTGAAGATAGTTTGATTTATTGTGACAAGACCAAGGTAATGCCTCAAAAGTTAGTCCCCAGAAATATGCAAAATTGAATAGTTAGTAACTTTAATACTTTGTCTCATGCTGGCGCGTAAGCTACTATCAAACTGATTAATCCCAGATGTATATAACCAATTTTACAAAATGTACAGAAATGGGTTAGAGAATATTCGGCGTGTCAACAACCAAAGGTTAATCTTCCCATGAATTCACCCATCGAAGTTTTCTCATAATCAAATGCACATTTTGCCCATGTTCATATTGATTTTTTAGGTCATTCACTACGTTCTAATGGTTTCACTTATCTATTTACACTCACAAACAGATTCACAAGGTTTCGAGTAGCCATACAATTAACAGACATCACAACTGAAACAGTGGCCAAAGTTGATCGGATCTGTGTTCTTTGCAATCTTGTGCTACATTATTACAAGTTTGTGTTAGGTACTGATCACTTGACAACAGAAAACAATATTCGAATTCAATAACAAATTATTTATATTTTCAGTTTTCTCTTTGATATATCATAATATATTTAAACAAAAATAGGTGTTTTTACGCAAGATCTACATTCATATAAATATATATTCTGCACCATAATCAAACTATGATATTCATTTTTTACTATTAAGCATAGTTATAGAAAGTATCCTACACCCACTTTCGATTATGGTTAATTTTGGTTGAGCCCTTTTATTAACTTACTTATCAGACGATGTTACTACAACAGTAACGATGCCCATATTTCTTTGTACTGTTATAATCACTAGATCACATGACAGACTTTAGTTAAAATGTTGATTGCTTAAATACACTCGATGATTCATACACCCCTCCATATATATATATATATATATATATATATATATATATATATATATATATATATATATATAGTCATATTGTATTATTAGTTTTGACTTTGTCTTGTTGCGCCCTTATGCAATTTGACTATAAATTTGCCTATGTATTTGCTCGTTTCCTCACTTCAAATTCGTTCGATATGCTGTTTATAGCTTTGTGATCTGCACTATCCCCTCCTAATAAATTGTAGTTGCCGCTTCCCATTTCTTTCTGATTTTAAACGCCATTATGATTTCGTGTTATAACAGTTATCGAAATGATTGATTAATCAGTTAAAACCACTATATATTAATTCCATTTAATGATTAGTATACAATTAAGTTAAATTTTTTTAAAGAAACAAAAATTAAATTAAAACAAACATTTTTTTATGTATTAAACAAAATGATTCATTTAAAAGATAATCTTTTTATGTTTATCAATTTTAAAATTTAAAAAACAAACAAACTTCATAAGTCATTTATTTGTTTTAGTAAATGATAAATTGTAAAGACGAGAGATTTATAATTTTCATTTTAAAATATTCTAGATTGTTCTCAGTATAAATTGGACATTTATACTTTGTTTTTTTAAAATAAAAAAAACACGTACACAATTTGAATTTTATTTTTTCAAAAAATCACATAAAAACATTGAGTTATACTTTATAAAACTAAAACAAATCTCTTATTATTTTTAAATGTATGAAGAGAGAGAGAAAGTATGATTATGATGTAATAAGTTTTTAATTTTTGTTTAAATAAATTTATTTTATTATATATAGTTTTCTTTGAATAGTTAGTCAATTTCAATATTCATTTAACATTAATACTGATAATGTAAAAATCCTTTGTAGAATAATATTCTCAATGGTTGAGATCATGAGTCAATTGAAGCTAGATCACCATGGAAAACCTGAAAGCACTGGATGGCGGTTTCTTCCTATTGTGCGACTCTTCACCAGTATGCACCCAAGACTCCACCTTGATGGATTCGAACCCAGAATCTATTATTCTCACGAGCAAGCGATCGCTTAACCACTAGACAACTAAGCTGATTGGTATCCAACTTTATTAATGTGTAACTTCAATTCATTCAATGGTGATCTAGCTTCAATGGAATCATGATCTCAACTATTGAAATTACTAATAATAACCACAGAAACCATTCTCATATAAAACATAATAATTAAATAAATAAACAAAATTATTATTTATTACTATTCTTAGTTTTAACAGAATTCAAAGATGGTGTTAATAAATTTTTAAATAATGATGTTTTATTTAAACGAGATGAATTCATTGTTTGTTTAGTCATTATTTTCATATTTAATGGTATGATTTCATTTTCATATTCTGTATCCATGTCATTTGATTTGTTTACACTTATTTTATGAATATTATTTCTTAATAATAAAATTTAAGAAAAAAAAAGAAGAGAAAACAATTGAGTAAATTCTTATTGATAAATTGGAGTGATTGTATAGTTTATTCACAATAATTAAGGAATATAATAATGTATCAGTTTTTTTCTTGTTTTTGTTTTTTTCTTGAGATGAAACTATCCGTATCAAAATGAATGAAACTATTTTTGTTTGAGGTCAATTAGATGGATAAAAAGGGGGGTCTACTCATTTTTTATTTATTTTGGATGTTTTAAAACACAATAACAACTTCCACTTCTTTTTGTTAAAGTGCATTGTAGTTATATTAATCTTTTTTTTAAAAAAAACTATATAGTTTTGCATACTAAATATATTTTTCTATGCTCAGATTAAAATTGATTGCCATGAAATACCTTTATTGATAATGTAATGCTTTAGAGTATAGTTAATGAATTAATAAAACTGATACATATCTTCATTTATAGTTGAAATATTGTTCAGAACAGAATTGTTTGATCTCTCGATTATATCTACTTAACCATTCCAATTATTATCAATTATTTTGTGCACCTACTAAGTAGTTTGGTTTCTAAGATCAGTTCTTACTAAAGGAGTAATTTAGAGTACTTTTAGAACAACCAGAATTGAGTACTAAACAGTAAACTATCTGAAATAGATAAGCTACGTAGTTTAGAATGTTTGTGTTATTTGTCATTTATGAAATAGTTGAATGCAAAACGACCGGAACTAATTAGAAGTAAGTAATTTTTTGAATTAGTTAAAATTTCTACTAAGAAGCAAATACTTCTATAATTATACGAATTACTTTTCAATGGACGGATAAGTTGCATTACATCAAAAAAATTTTTAAGGCGGAAAACTTTATTCAGTTATCATTTATAATTTGTTTACTTTTAAGACTGTTTAGTCTCATGACTTTGTTTGACTTATAAAGAAATATCCAAGTAAATGAATTAAACCGAAAAACACAACAATCTTAATAGTTCATAAACTTTCTGATATATGATTTCTAAAAACAAAAATTACATATTTACTTTATACCGGTTTGATCATAAACAGTGTGGTTAAATAATTAGTTAATAATTACAAGACCATTCAATTTATAATGATATTATTAAGCAAACCGTCAATCTGTATTGCTTAAGATAACACAATGACTGAAAAATGCAGTGAAATATTCGTATATATATTGATTAACTTACATAGAATTCTCTTGTGGTATATTATTAACTTGACCTCGTTTAAGAAGTCTAGGATGGTATAATACAGACTTCCAATTGTTTTGATTTATTTCATTTGGACATGATGTTTTACGTGGAGTAGGCATTAGAATTCTCTCGTTATCAGCGACTGAATTTATATCAGAAACTGATGAACTATCACTATTTTTTAACTTATCAACATCTGTAAATTAATTATGATTTAAAAAGAAATTTAGAATTAGGCAAATTCTAGATTGCAGTTTTCTAGAAGCTTGGTTTAAATGAAATACATATTATTAGTTTAAAATGACCAATACTTTTATTTACAATCTAAAAACTCCATTTGAACAATTTGTAAATCGTATTTAGAGTGGTCATTTGAGTCTTATATACACTTCCTAGATATTTCCACAACCAGCCACTTGAGTGAGAAAAAGCTAGAAAAGACCTGTGTTCCACAGAAAATTAGGCCGGATTTTCAAACACATTTTTATATCTCTTCTCTCATAAAACTATGCCAAATCTTAATTAACAGCGTGCATACTAAAACGAGTTTAGCTATGTCCACTTTGATGATGAATAATTATCCTATGGATTTTCTAAAGACAATAATTAAGAAAGAAAACTGGAACGATACTGTAAGGGATAAAGGGAAAAAATGGGTTAGCATTGTGATGATCCCATATCATAAAAGGTTTTCAGAAGGGATCAGAATGGTCCTAAATCTTCAAAACATAAAAGTTTTTTTTTTGCACAAACAATACTCTAAGATCCAAACCGGTAACATTCAAAGATACAATACAAAAGAAGGAACAACAAAATTGTATATATATAAAATCAAATGTAGTGATTGTAGTGTCATATATATAAGTGGAACATCACGATGACTGAATATGAGGGTGAAGGAATACAGACTTTACTTAAAGTACATTTCTAAATCCCCAGATGATATAAAAAAGCTCGAAAAGAAATCAGGGATAGCATTACATTCAATAGAGTCGGCCATACCATTGATTTAAATGGCACAAGAATCCTACAGAGAGGTTTTAGTTATTACAAAGAAAGACCAACAGCCGAAGCCCTACACATGTGGGCAAATCTAAATAGTATTAATAAGGTAGATGGAATACAATTAGCTGTCCCAAGGGAACTAATAATTAATGAGTAAATTTGAACTCTTTATTCCATTTTATTTATCATTTATTATCTGTGCAGCAACAATCACATTCATCTATTTTAATCAGTTGGTTTAACTGAATATATGATGACCAATTAACTGGAACAGAGAATTAACACATTCATTCATTTACTTTTATTTTGTTTATTTATCTTTATTATATGTATGTTGTGACATGTTCGACTAATATCATATATAACTATCTTATGTTTTCTCTAAAAATTCACCGATCAGTGGCAATAAATAGTGAATGAAATTTCTTTACACACCTCAGATCCATTTACAAATACCCATAATCTGTTATCTTAATACACTTTTCGTTCCACACTACATGTCTGATATACACTAAAGCAAATACCTACTTTAAACATTGTTAACATGATTGAATGATTTATTTACCATACAATTAACAGAAGAGTTATGTACTCATTTATTTTTGATAATTATGATGTTTGATTATATTGTCTTGAAAAAGCTTGGTCAGTCAGTCAGTCAGCTACAACGTAGGACCAGGCACATATGTGCATCGGTCCAGGTTGACATACCTCATTAACACAACAAGATGAACACTGGATTCATAGCAGTGGTTAGGTCAAAGGTGGTAATATATAACAGAAAGATTGCATATAGAAATATAGTACAAGAAGAAAGAATTGGTTCGTAGAAAGAAAGATATGAAGTGATTTTAATCTCTTAGTTTAAGGGAAGACAGAGAGTGTATACACCGACGCCATTGTGATCGATTCTGAGCCATGTCACCAAGAGTCTCCAACCATTGGTTACGATAGTCACGCGGACCCCAACCAAGTAGTCTGCATCTACCAACATGGCTCAGACTAGAAGTTAGTGTCTTCAGGCACTGATGCCACGTTTTGGTTTGGCCGCCCTTAACTTTCTTCCAACCATCCCCAACACTAGTCAGCATTGCCCGTCGTGGTAATCGGTGTTCAGGCATACGTAACACGTGGCCCAACCATCTCAGTCGATGAAGATTCATAACCTTGGACCAGATTGTGGAGCAAAATGTCGCATTTATTTAAAATTTAACCGCTGAGATTTTGTACAAATATATTTTTCTTCCTTATATGCTATTAAAAGTTCCTTTATTCATTTATTTTAAATCATTATTAATCTTTACAGAATTAAATACAAAACATTCATCATGAGATCCTAGGATTAAGCACTTCTGTGAATAATAATATTGATAGTCAGTATAACACAAACTGTGAACTATCGTATTGTCAAATTAATCCAATGGTTAGTTTAGTTCTTACTCTAACTTTATGTTTACATATATTGTGATATTTCTTGACATCTCACGGATACATTAAACGAAATCTATATCTTGACAGATAAATGAGATGAACAGAAACTGACAATTAATTTTAAGACAGCTTTCAGTCTAGATAATTCTGAGTATTGATAATACATTTTATGCCAACTATTGCAATAAGTGCTTACATATTTATATGTACAATAAGTGGGTTATACATTTATTTAAAAATCAATATATACCTTTGGAATTAATTTTGCTATTATTGTAAGTTGTATTGATAACGTTACCATTATTACTAATACTATGATTGTTATATAGTCTAGGTATTAAACATTCATTAGGTTCATCGTTTCTTTTACTATCTACATCTGAATGATCAGATGATGATGATTGTATATGGTTTCCTAAATTTAGCGTTGAATTTTGAATTTTATCATTTTGTTGACTTAATCGTTTTGATGGTACTTTTGAGTAATTGTTAATCCGATGTACTCTTTTATCTGTTGGTAGTAATTCATGTTTAATTATAAAATTATTTTTTTTCACTTTGTGATTTTGTATATCTTTATTATTTATCATAGATTTAATTTCAGTAAGATGACCCTAAAAAAAATAAATTAAAGAAAATAAAGGTAATAAGGTAACATTTTAGTCTATAAAAACTATGAAAAACAATAACAATGATGAGATTTTACAATTTTACTTAAAACTGTAATTAATTAAGTATCAATTATAAATTTATTCCATTTAATTATATTCTAATACACATATGTGATTATTTACTCTAAAGCTGTCCATAAAAATTATGCAATACAACATGAAAAGTAAATAATCAAATTTTACTGTATAGTTTTTACTAATAAGTGAAAAATAAAAACATTTGAATAATGCAGAGTCTTGTAGCATCATCTTTATTTCGTTTATATCAGAAGGGGTTTTGTGGATATTATAGTAATTTTAATAGTTGAGATTATGAATCAATTGAAGCTAGACTATTATGGAAAATGTTGTGAACAGGAAAACAAAAAGCCCTGACAAACTACAAAAGCTATTTTTCGGGACGTTATTCCATTTTATTCAAAGCTTGTAAAACTCTGACTTTTATTTTTGTCCCTAATCTATTCTACAGAACATAAGCTTTCGCTCGATGTATGATTCATTGTCATATCCTTTTTTGGTCCGAAGCTATTGTAATTTAAACATAATATTTTGCACCCTATTTTCTAATTTAATTCCCAGCTTTGGACATAATTGTATTTTGCCTAATTATCGTACGTTGTGGTCGGGTTATTCACTAATTTATTCATGTACCTTTTTACACTGAACTGAACTGAACTGAACTGAACTGAAATCAGGATATCGGAATAGATCGAGTAGTGTTCCAGTTGTCTTGTTTTCTCTCATTCGCGTGCTTGTCAGCCAATCAAGTGAATGATATAACAAAAAACCTGGAAGCACTGGATGACCGTTTCGTCCTATTGTAGGACTCCTCAGCGGCGCACCTGTTGTGAGATAGTAGATTACTGAAGACACTAGTGGATGCGTTGCTCAATTTTGTGGATTAGTTGAAGTTAGACATTAACACAATTGGATGCCGATCAGCTCAGTGGTCTAATTGTTAAGCGCTCGCACGCGAGGCTGATAGGTCCTGGTTTCGAATATCATGAGGCGGGATTTTAGGTGAGCACTGCTGAGAAGTTCCACAATAGGACGGAACGGTCGTCCAGTGCTTCCAGACTTTTCATAGTGGTCTGGCTTCAATTGACTCACGATCTCAACTCTTTCATTTATTATTTAATAAAGAAATTATTGAAGACGAAAGGAATAAACAGTTAACACTGTATGATTACCATCCATTCAAATCTAGTTAATCAATAATTTGTTTGTTTAACATTCAATAAAAATATGTTAAATTTACTTTGAAAATGAAATGAAATAAATTTTGAAGTCTATGAGTCTTTTTCACAGTAGAATTTTCAGATTGTTCAGAATATAGAACAGACAGGAAATGAAACTGGAAACACTTCCAGTGACATTTATTTGAATCAAAGTTAAGTAGATTAGAATAATTGAATAATTTTAATAATAGAATTCATCACAACTATTTATTATATCACTTATTTACTGACTTTGATAATTATTTACTGGAAACTTACTTTGAAAGACATTCTTGATGAAACATGGTTTAGTGTAGGATGGATATCTTTATTGACAATGTTATTATCATTGTTACTTTCAACTGATAAATTATTTGTTATTTTTTTCCTAATAGAATCGTTTAACGATGAAGAGGAGTTGTGCGCCTGTTTTGTACTTTGATTAATCTGTTTATTATTCACTAGTACTACTGATCTGGTATCTTGTATTGATGAAGATGGACTTTTTGTTTGACTATCACTATCTTGACATGTATTTAAATTAAAATCCTTTAAAGAAATTTAAACAAGTGTCAACAATTAATCGTGATAAGTATTAACAATTATAATAGTATAAACCTTCCGTTTTTATTGTTCACTATTATTCACTATTATGATATGAGCTACTTAAAAAGGTGTCTATGTATTGTTCATATTAATAAGTTATTTATAACCAGTGTGGTGGTTGGTAGTGGAATCTCAATGAAATATTGAAAGTGTGATTTAAATAAAACTTTCATTCGAGTTGTAAACAAGATTAACTACGTACACTAATTCCGATTGTTAGCCACTGTCCAATATTCAAAATCATGATCAATCTGAAAAAAATAGTAATTTTTTTTCAAATTGTTTCACTCAGATGATTTTACGTTTTAATACAAATAGATTTCTATATGGTAAAAAGATTAAGATTTTTTGAGGAGAAAAATTTACTGATCTTTATTGCTGATAACATACTAAATAAAATTTTTACTCACTGGTTGAAGTCAAACTGGAGAAAATTTCCTATCTTTCCACATTTACACCTATGACGAACGGGTAACTATAAGCTAAATTTAGTTTTGCTTAGTTTAACAGTGATACATTTTTTTCGAATGGCTGAAAACAATTTAATGTAAAAGTAAATTCTGTATGATGGACAAGTATCAGATAGTGATCGACGTTATACTTTTGCCTTGTGCATGAACTACTCATCGAATAATCAATAGTAGATGGTATCGCACCCCCATGTAATCTACTTTTGTTTCACTATTAAATGTAATTCTAATCTGCCCAAATATTTTGTGACCTTGTGTACCAATACGTTTCCTTTTGCTTATCATATTTAAACCTTTAGTTCATATGTGTGCTTGACTTGTATGCAAATCTATGAGCTTACCTATAAATTGTGTCTTTTAACCTGCATTTTATGCGTAGTTTATTTTCGTTTACAACATGATCCCAACTTAAATATTGCGATTGGGCTGAAAAATGCCTCTCTGTTCTGTATCTCTAGACAGCTTTCCAAATAAATGAATGGCTGAAATCTATCCTTCTGGTATATTTTTTATATGGCTCTTGTTATCACCCCTGAAAAATGGGGTTAGTTTAACTATATCCAAAATTAATTGAAGAATGAATAAATCATCATCAATATCATTGGTGTCAATCAATTGGAGCTGATTTAGAGCAAAAATTCATTTCATTTAATAACTAGGTCAATCATTTATATTAACTTACAGAATTTTATTTTCACAGTTTACGAAAATCAAATTAATCATCATTTTTACTTTACCTACCTGATAATGAGAAAATTGTGGATTAACTGGACGAAAAGTAGTTAATTCATTGATTAAATTTTCATTTAATGAATGTTTTTCATTTTGTTGCTTCTCTTTACCAACATTATAGCGTTCATAAATTAATAGACAGAAATGTAAACGTTTCGTAATTGCATAGTGATATGATGAACAATTATTCTTGTCACGTAGATATGGATTTGCTTTATAAAATTAAATGTATAAATATGCAGTGAAATTAAAAGAAAGGATAAGTGAAATGCAAAAAAACAGATCATAACTTAGTGACATTATTTAAATAGTGCAATGAGAAGAAGGAGTTGATCTATCGGAATTTATAAAAGGGACTTATTTGCTTTAGTTCTGTTACAGAACTATCTCTATGACAATAATGTCGGTCAGTTTTAAATAATCGAATAAGTAAACAGATGTTTCGTATAGAATCTATGATATTATTAGATTGAGAAATTGATTAAGAGCTAGTAGTCGAAAATGTGACCAGTATTTGAAATTAAAGGAATTATTTTTTAACTGATTATTAAAACACTTTTCCAAATCAGAATGAATTTATTGGGTTTTACTTGACAACCGTAACAGTGAATGGATTAACAGTGTAAGGTCTATGTCCTTTTCCATGTGTTCTCTTCTTTTCTTATTTCATTTTGTACGTTATATTATACTACTTACTAATGATCAGTAATAACTTCCAATTCCTATAACTTTCGAGAGCATAGCATGTTATGTTTATCATTTACGGTGTAATATTATAAGTATTGACAAAACCTGATAGCATTCAATCTATTTATTATCCTAATTGCGTCTCTTTAGCACCTGTAACAGTTGCTTTGAACTTTGATATACTCGTTTAACACTTGTTTTAGTGTAGAAATTTCCATTTTTGTGTACTTCATTCCAATTTTTTTTATTGTTGTCTACACCTGTTCGTACTTTTATTAAAATTATCAGTGTCAAAAATAGTGCAAAATTTGGAAGTTGTCCAGTTATTGCTTACACTTTCTGAATAGTCCAAAACAATCCATCTATTGTAGAACTATACTACTAAATTCTGATATACTTCGAATCAGTTCAAAATAATTAATATCTTAATTTTTTTAAAAACAGAAATGAATGAAGCGTATTTTATAATTTCAGAATATATCTCTAGTATATTTAGTCACCATTGTTAATCTAATTCACAAATGATTTAGACTCACCAAGTCTCATAAAAATATTTGTTTGATCGAACTTAAGCGAAAAGACAGAGTGAAAGGACTGGATTAACAGGTTATGTTAAATAATCTATTAAAAAGTGTGCATGTTCAGTATCACCAATGTGTAATATCAATGTGTACATGGGTAAAATATTGATGACTCAAAATAAATCATCCTTTTCAAGTAATGAAATCTAACTAGTTTTAATTTCAGTCAGTCTATCTATTATATTATCTGGTCAGTTTATATGGTCAGAGGGCTATTGTTAATAGTGTGTTCCAATGACCTTGAATATTGATATGAATAGAAGTGTTGGCAGGCATGATATAAAACAGATATATACAAAGGTACAATTATACAAGCTATCGATACAATTATTTTAAAAAATATTATACATGATAGTAACAATGAAACCTTTATGACTTAACAGTAAGTTAACAATATTTCCATGTCCATTTATAGTAGCTAAATGCAAAGGGGTACGATTCTCATTATTGAACTGATTCAACAGTATAGCATTCGGTTTATATTGAAGAATAATTTTGCATGCATTAAGAAAACCTAAAAATAATAGGCAGGAAAAGATTTTTGATGATACGAGCATTGAGTCACTGATATAAAATTGTTGAAGATACAGTTAATTGATAATATTAAAAAAAATACGGAATGGATTAACTTAAAATTTTACAAATATAACTGTAATCTGATGGTAGTTTTTACCACTATTATAAAGGGAGAATAAAAGGCTGATATAAATAAAACCACAAACAAATAAAAACAAAAATTATTAGTCGTCATTAAAATAGACACCAAACATAGCTGATAATGTTCCAATGAAACAATCATTTTAATTTCATCGAAGTGAACACAGTTGGAAAAACTAAACCATGCCATAGCAACTAGGTTGTTTGAAAGTACAGTACTCAATGAAAGATTTACGTGTCACCAATTCAATCGTTAGTGGGTTTGTGGGTAAGCATTGAAGTTATGAGATCTCGAACTACGACGATAAATTAATACACTGCACGACTGTATTCAATCCTGCATCAGTTAAACTTATACCGTAATAAAAATTCATTTTTATACGAATATTAGTCAATATTAGAACGAATAGTTTGACAGAAATTGTGCACTGAGTATAGAGATGTCGTTGTATGTGTAGTTTAAATTTGAAATAATCTCAGAGATTGAAATTTAAATAATTCCAACGTTTCGTCCAACAAACTTGTTGAGAATTCCTCAGGGTTACAATCAAAATCAAAATTGCCAAATAATATGTAATATTTAATAATCAAATTTTTATTTTGCTTATCCAATCATACTCAGATGTTGATTTTAGTAAGTAGGATAACATGAATCAGTTATATGTGAATCATGTGAAAAGTTCGCAATTTTAAAATAAATGAATGAATAATTGTGTGTAAGTATAAGTTTGAGTTATTAATAGTTGATATTAGGCGTTAATTTGTTTTATACGAAGTAAATAAAAGTAAAGGACCCGACAATATACCAGCTGGAGCACTGAAGTCAGACATAGAAGTAACTACAAACATGCTTCACCTTCTATTCAAGAAGATTTGGGAGGAGGAACAAGTGCCGATGGACTAGAAAGAAGGACACCTCATCAAGATTACAAAGAAAGGACATCTGAGAAAATGTGAAAACTGCAGGGGCACTACACTACTGACAGTACCAGGGAAAGTCTTCAACAGAGTGTTGCTGGACCGGATGAAAGACGCAGTAGACGCCCAACTTCGAGACCAACAAGCTGGATTCCGTAAGGACCAGTCGTGCACAGACCAAATTGCAACACTACGGATCATCGTCGAACAATCAATTGAGTGGAACTCGTCACTATACATAAACTTCATTGATTATGAAAAGCCATTTGACAGTGTAGATAGGAGAACGTTATGGAAAATTTTTCGACACTACGGAGTTCCTGAGAAGATTGTCAACATTATCCGGGACTCATATGACGGACTACAGTGCAAGGTTGTGCACAGAGGGCAGCTGACATATGCATTCCAAGTAAGGACCGGATTCAGACAAGGCTGTCTAATTTCTCCCTTCCTCTTTCTTCTGGTGGTCGACTGGATTATGAAGACCTCGACATCTGAAGGAAAACACGGAATACAATGGACAGCTCAGAATCAATTAGACGATTTGGACTTCGCAGATGACCTAGCTCTCCTATCACGTACACACGAACAGATGCAGATGAAGAAAGCCAGTGTGGCAGCAGTCTCTGCATCAGTAGGCCTCAGCATACACAAGGGGAAAACTAAGGTCCTCAAACTCAAAACGAAGAACAGCAATCCAATCACACTTGATGGCGAAAATCTGGAAGATGTAGAATCCTTCACATACCTAGGAAGCATAATCGATGAACAAGGAGGATCAGATGCAGACGTAAAGACGAAGATTGGCAAGGCAAGAGCCGCACTCCTACAATTGAATAACATATGAAACTCAAAACAATTTTCAACCACTATCAAAGAATCTTCAATACGAACGTCAAGGCAGTTCTACTGTATGTACGGAGCTGAAACTTGGATAACTACAACAACCACCATCAAGAAGGCACAAGTATTTATAAATAGCTATCTACGCAAGATACTCAACATCCGTTGGCCGGATTCCATTAGCAACAGGCTTCTGTGGGAGAGAACAAACCAGTTTCCAGTTGAAGAGGAAATTCGGAAAAGACGATGGAAATGGATAGGACATACATTACGCAAATCACCAAACTGCATCACGAAGCAAGCCCTAACTTGGAATCCTGAAGGGAAGCGGAAAAGAGGAAGGCCAAAGAGCACATTATGTTGGGAAATAGAACCAGATATGAAAAGGATGTATAACAACTGGAAGAAGCTGGAGAGGATTGCCCAGGACAGGGTTGGATGGAGAATGCTGATGAGCGGCCTATGCTCCTTCACGAGGAGTAACAGGCGTATGTAAGTAAGTAAATAAAAGTACAAGTTGAAGGTTGAAATTGTTTTTTGAACAGTCGATGTTCGCGTAACATGAGAACTATCGAATATATAATTGTATTGCTAAAACAAACCACATTAATTTCAGTTAGAATAACGATGCATGTGAAATAAACAGGTTGGATAGAGAATAGGTCCAATTACTTGTTAACGAATATTTGCCAAGTAGTTGCTAGTTGAATACCACCCTTTGTGTTCAGGCTGTTCTTATTCGCTCATATATACAGCACGTCTGCTGTCAATCTTTCTTATGTATGTTAAAACCTTTCTGAAGTATCTTGGTTCCTTCAAAATTGGTCTTGTGTCCTGTTTCTAACTCATGTTACGCTACCACCGACCTATTCTTATGTTTCTTCAGATCAACCGAGGATTCGGGAACATTTCTTAAACATTGTTTGCGTTCCTTCAACCTCACATTTAATTGTTTAGAAGTTTCTCCCACATAAGCTGCATTACATTTATCACAATTGATCGCATAGATAACATTCTGTTGTTTTTCCTTTGGAAACCTATCCTTAATTTTCAATAATGCTGATCTTATGGTGTCACTAGCCCGAAAATACACTCTTATGTTTGTTTAGAATTTTCTTAAGTTCATCCAATGTTTCTCTACACTATGGGATGATCAAGGTGCACTTTCAGTCTTTTGGTACACACTTTAATTTAGTTTTTTTTTCATTTCTAATAATCTTTGAAAATTCTCTCAAGTAATTGTTAGCCGTAAGTGTAGAGAAAATTCCATTCAGTTCAACTTGTTAGTCTTCTTGCTCCATAATCAGATCAATACTCCTGTTAGTTTACTTCGTTACAACTATGACTTTCGTACAATACTCATGAGACGAACCGTAATCTAATTATCTCTCAGAATGTGTTGATTTCCTGAATACATTAATTTTCAACTTATTGTTATGTCTTCTTTCGACCAAACAATCAAGAGAAGCTAGTTTTTGGTCAGTGGACTCACTTTCCTCGGTTAGCTTGATGCCCTCCAAAATGCTGTTTACATTTTTAAACACCTCTTCTGAAACACTTCGTTTGATGATGATGAAAATTTCATTTTCATATCGTAACCAAACTTTTGGTGGATTTACACATTTTGTGATCGCATTGGCTTTTAGGGAATTCATGAATATATTCTTTACAATCGGAGAAATTGGTTAATCCACTGCCATACCTTTCCGTCTGTAAAGGTCTCATCGGAATGAGAATAATGTGGATCGTAAACACAATTCCAGACACTTGATAACTTTGGAAGAATCTAACAGACGTCGTAAATTCAAATCTGAGTCAGATTCTAAACAATTATAAATAATATCCAATACTTTATCAATATGTACATTAGTAAATTAGGAAGAAACATGAAAACTTGCCATCATTTCACCCTATTCTATAAGGATGGTATATATATTGCTCTTGAATTCAGTAAAGTTTTTATTTCCATGATTAATCAATTTGTCATATGGTGTGAGTACCTTAGCTAAGTATTTCACTAGGTTATATGTCGGCGAATTTGTAAAATCAACCACTGGTCTTAGTGGAGTACTATTCTTGTGAATCTTTGGTAGTCCATAGAATGTACAATGGTTTCAACTTTTTAGATATAATACGAACAATAATGACAGTCCTAGTTTCATTTTAGTCGACTGTAAGATTTTACTAGATTCAGCCTTAAGTTTATTAGGTGTAATCCGACTTTTCATTTCTTTAATTAATTCATACAGGTCGTCTTGGAGATGTTCCCTGGATTTTTTCTTGTAGTCTGAGATGTTCATGATGACAGTCGTGTTCCCATTATCTGCTCTCCTAACTACAATTTTCTTGTCGTTTCTTAGCTGTTTTAACGCATATAATTCTTTTTTAGTTAGATTAAACTGTATGTTTCTTGATGTTATAAAGTGACCAGTATTTTATTGCTCACAACATTCGCTGTTTCATTAGAATAGAAATTCAAAGCTGGTTTATTGCAGGTATAATATTGAATGGTGATAATCGTTGTCCATTTATATTGAAATTAAGACGATTTCCAAGCACAGGTATTTTGTGGGTAATTAGATTTCTATCTGACCAAAATTATGCGCCCAAGCGCACCAGATTAGGGTCCAGTGTGAGTTTCAACCCATAGAGGTGCAATGGTGAGCCTCCACCCAGAGTCAGAGTATTCCCAATCATCCTGAACTAGGCGCGAGGTAAGCACAATAAATATTTGATTTGATTGTTAAATATTATATTTTCTTTGATAATTTTAATTTTGATTGTAATCCTGAAGAATTCTAGACAAATTTGTTGGAGGAAACGTTGGAATTATTTTCATTCCAATCTCTGAGATTATTTCAAATATAATTTTCAAAAATAAAAACTATTTTTAAAATCAAATAATCTCCACTAATTATTTAAAAATTTCCATCATATTAGAAGTTGGATGTGCCTGCTTGACATAGTAGACAATTCTATAACGCGATGACGTTTGAAGTAAATGGTAGTGGGTTTGAGTCCAGGAGTGAATATCAACTCTAGGATGCTGGCGCATCCGACTGACAAGTCCTCAATAGGAAGCTTGTAATTTAAGGCAATATCGAGGTGATCCGCACAGGATACACATATGCCAATAAGAGACTGGTCAATTGCAGTCCTAGACATTAATGGGATGATTCATATAAGCAATAAAAAATGAGTTAAATATTATGAGTATTTATAAAACGAAATTGGATAGTGAAATCATTTCCTCTGCTGTCATATATCCATATAACGATATCTGAAATTGTGGAATGCGCATGTTAAGTTCATAAGTTAACCGGTAAAATGTAATTTTGACACCTTTCTAGAACCATGAAACTCATCAGATGACCAGTTTGAAGTTTACATAGTAGAAGAATAAATAGCCATTTATAGGCAGAGTCGGATTGCTGGCTGGCCAATACTCTTATAAATTCATTACAGACACATAGGTTATTTTGTTATTATTTGTTTACAGAGATTAATTATTTTAAAACAAAACGCTTATTTGTCAATAAAAGCTCATTTAAGATACATTTTCAATTGGGATTTGATATCGCTTCGTTTTAAACAAACTCTATCGTAATTTTTTAATATCAGTCAGATTTATCAAAAATTGAATAGAGATCGTTGGAATAACGGCACTGATATAGTTCAATGGTGTGTGAAAATGTAGTGATAATATAAAGTAACTTCGAATCTCTGAGAAGGGTATCGGTTGCCCCGAAACTGCGAATAAATTTTGGCACGTTCAGAGTTTTCTTTTAGATACGTTTAAACATATACCTTTAATACATATGTCTGCCAAGCATTTTTGCCGATTCAATATTTACTTCAGTTCAATTGATTAAATTTTTGTATTTGGTCATTTGAAGTGTTGTTCTGCTACAGTTACGTTTTATTCTAATAGATTCCCTTTGTCATAATTCTACGTATCTGTTTGAATGTAAATCGAATTAATAAAGTCACAACTCTGGAAGTAACATAATTAACGTTATCTACTCAAAAAGGTATCAGTCATTGCTAACCAGTATGTCATGTAATGCAAAAGAGAGAGGTATGTAAAATGTATTCGTCAATCTCATAAAATTAAACAAAACATCACTTTGTATCATTCTGAAAAAGATCTCGCAAAGTTTATCATGTTTTGGTACTTATTCAACATAATTTATGGTCCTTTGTCATTAGAAAAACATGTCACTACCGTGACGTTCACTTTTTCCTCAAAGTAATATATTTTGCAGGAAATTTTATTTTTCTTTATATAACTTGCCTTTCATTGCAGCATGATGAAGTGCATTTTGACCTTCTGAATCTACGTTTAATCCATACTCACTGTTTGATAAATACTAAAATGAATAGTGTGTAGAAATTAATTTTAAGTGTTTAAACGACTATTAAAATAATAATAACAGTCAATGAATTTTGTTTACCATTTTGGGGATAAAATTTCTGTGGCAAAGTTATTCACAAGTTACTCAAGCAACAGCAAACAGATATTTTGACTTCATGATTATAATGACTTTTAAAAACGTTATTTTAAATAGGTATTGCACGAAGAAGATAGGTCATTATTATGCTCATATAGAAACTCTAAACAATCTATTAAGCGTTTGTAATAATAACTTAACTGGATTTAGATCAGTATTTAATCCAACCACAGTTTAGATATGTCGCTAAAATCGGACCTTCCAATCTGACATGTATTTAAGAGAGGTGTTAGACTCTTGCAAACCATAGATACCGTTCTTAATTTGTTGCTAGAAGTCACTGCTCGAGTATTTCATTTCACAATACACATAATATTTTGATGTCTTAAGCTGAAATACAAGTACAGAGACAACATCTATTCCCTTGAATTCTTGTCTTATTTGAAGCAGCTGAGTTTTGTTTCTCCAAACTTCTGGAAGCCCCATATCATAATGAATAATGATAATATCTGGTTCAGAGTTGACAGTGATCTATCAACTCTTAATCAGAAACAACAATTTTTTCGAGAAGATTCATTCATGGTATTCTTCCAAACGCTAACTGAACGATTCCTAGATGAAGTATGTTATTTGACATTATGGGAACTGAGCTTATGAAAAATTTCAAACATTTTGGTTTTTTAATGGATTTAATGAGTAAAGTGAAAATATTTTATATAACAGTGGTTAAGTACAAGATATTAAATATTCAGAATAACTAGTGATAATGAAGAGTTGGTTTAACTGCATGAAGATGATAGCATTTTCTACATTAATATAAAGTACATTGAAAAGACTTTTAACTGTAAGAAAAGTACATTGTATCCGACGGCCAGTGATAATAATTTATAGCCCATTATGAATAAAATGACAAGCCTTGCTAAATAAACGTTCAGATTCTTAAGAACCATCAAGTACCGGTTACAGATTAGATACATCTCAGTGAATTTCGATAAACAATATTGGTGTCATGTATGATGTCAGAATCTAAAATGAACATATGATCCATAAATAAGAACAAGAGTTCAGTCAAACAAGCGAGAAGACTAAGAAAAGCTAGTTATTCAGGTTTATATAACAGTCTTTAGATACACTATTTTATTTAGAAGTAACCATCAGAAATAATATATTTGAGTAGAAAAATCAGTTTCTTGTCGTTCCTTTGTACTGTTTGAACTTGAATTAATTTTGATTTGGTTATTCATTCTCTGAAGAAGTGGCCTACACCGAATCACGAAACGTCAGAAAATTTAATTTTCCTACTCAGTGGGATATTTCAAATATGTTAATTTATTTATAACAATCTACCCAATGCTCAATTTATTCGAAATTATCAAGTCGAACCTTGGTGATGATACCTATCTTTCAAAAAGAAAAAAATATGAATGAAGTGGTTATGATGCAGAAAACTTTGATTTTTTTAATCAACTCAATATTTCGTTGGGGTGTCAAAAGGAATTTTGTTCACCAGATGTGTCGTCTATCTAAATCCGATAATCTTTAATTTTACCTCCCTTAAAATAAAACAAAGATTCAACAAGTCGAACAGATGACCAATTTCGTTGCTATGTTTATCAATCTAGAAACTATAAAGTTTTATTTTAAGGTTGCCTTTATTAAATAATCTTGTTTAATTAAAATAAAGTAATTCATTGATGATAATTAAGAGTTTCATGAGACTTTGAAATAGTTTAGAAATTCTGTTTAGTATTTGAATCTCTAATGGAATAAATATAAAATAAATAGTTTTAGAAATAATCAAAGATTATTTTCAGAAAAACAAGATAACTCACTTCTAAACATTTTAAACGATCATCTTTCAATAAAGTGTGGTGTATTAAATGATAACCGCTACTATCATACATCCATTGTTTTTCTGGAATACTTCGAATTTTAGCTGCCTGCAGTTTAATTAGTTAAAATAAAAGAATAATCGAAGTTTTAATGCATTCTAGTGTAATCTGATTTGATTCGCTAGGTAATCGTTCTAATTACAAAAATGATATGCATTTAAAAACTACTGGTAATTGAGAAGAGCAAACTAAGAGTAGGTGAAATTTTCATACTTTTTACAAAACAGTAAGGAAATGAATTTACCTTCAACAAGATTACTAGGTTTCCTAATCGGTCCGACTGGCAAGCCATATAATTGGTGTTAGACCATATTCATCACGAGCAGTAAGATCAGAGCCCTGTAGTATTAATGTCTAGAATGTATTAAAAATATCATTACTACTGAAACTATAAGCTGTATTTTACAATATTTTTTTCTACAAAAAGCTGAACAAACCTGAATCTGAAATAACAGAAGTGGAACAGGTCAAATGAGATCAGAGCTTAATTATAAGTTAAAGAAGGTAAAATAATATAAATATTGATGAGAGACCTGTTTTAAGTTTTTTTGTAATAGAGACTTAGAATAATTTGCCTTTGAACTATGTATGAACACATCTTTTAAGAACATTTCTTAAAAACACTGCAATTGTGATCATCACTTGAACAGACTGGAACATAATAATTGAAAAGTTAGACTACAGATTAGTTTTCTGTGTTCATTAGTGTAGTGTGAACCAAATAGGAAATACTACCGTCGATTCGGATCCATATGGCATAGTGCATTCTTAATTACTAATACAAAATTTAGCTCAAATCTCTGATCAAAAAACGTAACTGTAAGGCTAATCCGTCGAACTGTTAGAGAGTGCTTTTACAAATTTTGAAGTTATTAAAATTATGAAAATGAAATGATGTCATCTCAGGATGTTAAAGAAAACAACTTTTTAATCTACGTTAATTAATTTCTGGACAGTGGAATCAGAAATGTTGTCTTAGAGTAGAAAGTGAAGTAACTGTCGAAATACTTTGGTTTTCTTATTAAAATGTATGGAGAACATATCTGTCTGTATTCAGGTATCATAAGTATTAGAAATGTACATCTAAGCTGTCTAACAATGTTCTGTCCGTTCAGAATATCACAAATTCTGAAAAAAATCCTCAAGAGGAAATTATCACACTTTTACCAATAAAGATAAAGTAACAAATGTTATGTGATAATATTACAGACAAGTTTAATAAAATGTCATTTAAGCCTTAGCCTTACAGAGTTCGCCAATCTTTTAGTCAAAGAAGAGCAGTTAGTGAGTTTACATAATAATGGTATGTTTTGGTCTAATTCTTTGCTTTCGGTCTACCGGAAATTTCATTTCTGAATAGCTACTCCATCTGATGGAGCTCGTAAAAACCTGAAGCTTTAAAATATTGTATTCCCTAAATGTCAATATGGACCTCCGTCAATAATATCTGTGACAGTAACAATCTATCAACAACTGCTATTAATTAGAATTTAATTGAAGATATAAATTTATGGCTAAAACACAACTGAACTAAAGAGTCGAACATTGAAAAGCATTAATACTACCGAAATCTCTCACTCGGTATTTTAAGCAATGACGTAATATTTTAGTTCATAATATTTTAATCGCTGAAAAATTCCCATTATATTAAAACACAAAATTGTGTTTTCATAATATTTGTGCTTGACTAATTTAATCAAACTATACAATTTTGTATCATCATTGAGTACTATAGTTGACAGACTCTGTATTTGTCTTGTCACAAATATAAATAAACAAATCATTTTAAAATCAATATATATTTTCTCTGCACTCTTCTTCTGCATAATCTACTCAAAATATGTTAGCTTGGATTTTCTATCTAATTTAAGATAGTTAATTATAAGAGCAATGCTGTAACTATAGTCATTTGAAACTAAATAACCCTGTGAATATACAATTAATTTTAGTTAAGGTTAACCATTTTGTGACCTAAAGTCAACCTGAGCACTAAGAATATTGACTCATGCTGACATAAATCAATTCAAATAAAGTGTTTAATAAAGTTCTTCACGTGTCTATAAATACAGATATTTATTAAGTTATTTAAGTGGTACTTCAAAGTATATTTGAAAGTGAATTCGATCCATCTAATTTATATTAAAAAATATATTTGTATGTAATTTATTACTTAGTACTTTTGTATTGGTCATTAAGAATTAGCTGGAACGAAGTCATCTTGCTTCCATGAAATGTACATTAACAGTAACAAATATTTCGATGTATTATGCTTAAAATTTGTTTACGAATATTGGTATTTTCAGAGAGCGATATAATATGTTTTCTTGATTAAATTTATTTCTGAAGTTGGTTTTTCATGTGCGAACGTTTCCAATAATTTTTTTCACATATGGCTTTGATATATTTGTAAACAATCAGTATGAGGTTCTAAACCTAGGTTTCGTTTACAACGCAAACGTCACTGGTAAGGGAAATGTATCTGTAATCTTGAGAAACCTGGTGCTACTAATGAGGCATGAATTCTAGTTACCCACGCTGTAATTTAGCTTTAGCAAAATAGTTTTTGGTAGTTCCAGGTTTTCCATAGTTGTTTATCTTAAAGCAATTTGTAATTACAACAACTTCCTTATTTTGATCGAAGAGGGTCCTGGGTTCGAATCTCGCGAGGCGGGGTCGTGGATACGCACTGCTGAGGAGTCCCATACTAGAAAGAAACGGCCGTACAGTGCTCCCAGGTTTTCCATGGTTGTCTAGCATCAATTGACTCGTGAATTCAACTATTAAATTCCCTATTTCAGCTTAATAAATCAGAAAAAAATGCAGTGGACATTTTGTATCCTTGAAAATGTTACGGTTTAAACATATACATGTACGGCATTACGTCATTTCTTATCTTAGATTCTATTGTTTTAATAGATTGTCAAAATTATCATCTTGTAGAGAGTCTAACGGTTGATCATGAAATTTAAGACGTCGAAACACTCGCACAAAAATACAGTCTGTCAGTTCTGTTCAACGTAGAACACATCACGTATGTGTATATATTCAAATGGCTACACAAAGTTTACACCGCCGTGAAATTACCAGAATGAATTCCATAGTAGTAAAGTCGGTAAGATTAGCAGAAGAAAAAATTATTCGATATGGACTATATGATTCTGAGTGAAAGGAGTTCATGGGATCAATATATATAATTTTGAAGATCAGCATTAAAGAAAGAAAAGGAGTAAATGCACCTAAGTTGTTGTGAACTATGTTATGCAATTTCTAAAACCATTGGTGCCGGCAACCACGTCTACCCCATCCAAGTGTACTTCTCTCACCTATATGAATCATTTGAACAGTCACTGCCTTCATGGATTGGTATTATGTCCGAGTCTATTACCTTTAGTTTTCTTCCAACCAACCACTACACCACACAACATTACTTATCAACGTAGGCGATGGATTTGAATTCTTAATACCTGTTCTGTTCATATTAATCATCGAAGGCCCGTAACACCAAGATTCGACTTCTGACACTTAACTAGTATCTTGAGTTTAGTTACAGCACTACTCACACAACTGTCCGAACACACAGAACCCATGCATAGAAGGAAGCAATTATAAAATAATAGTAATCTACAAATATCTACTTTTGAAAGCAACTTTTTAAAGCTAGAAACTTAAAGGAAACGAACTGGTGTACAGTGTCCTTGTTTTTTAATTGGTAGACAAATGTCTCCTACGTCATAAGAGGAGTACATTTGCAAAAGCTTACCAAACTTTCTGAATCAGTACAAAAATTTCATCACACGCTTAATCCGACAAAGCGTGATTATTTGGTCTACACACTCATATCCAAGTCTGGACTTATTCTGGTTCATCCAGGTTCACTCTTCATGAGACTAATATCTTGGACACTAGATTATTCATATTAATTCCTCTTCGGTTATTTTGAAGTCAGTCTGTCATTTTTCATAAAATGGAATGATCAGCGGTTGAGACTAGTCAGATGGGTTTACGTTCAGTTCTCATATCCTAGTCAAGATCTCAGTCAGCTTAGACGCGGAAATTGTACCACCATACTTAAAAACCTCGAAAGTTAAATGATCAGGTCATTCTCCTTTCCCTTTTTTTGAATTAGCGATGGGTTTTTCAACTTAATCTGAAGTCAAAACATGATGCTGGCGTTCCATTCAGGATAGGAAGAAGTCACTCTGATAATTACTCAGTCATAATCATCGCAAATATCTCATTCCTATAGGCAGTCAGTTATAGCCCTAACAACTGAGAGAAACTGCTTCAGATTGTAAAACAACGTGATGTGCATTAGAATCTAGCGGGTAGATTTAGTTTTATAAGAATTTCACTCACAGCTTTCTGAAGCGTATCAACCCAAATGAAACCCATGCTTAAATTTCTCTATCAACTACGTTTGACCATCCAAAACATTTTCTGTGAAGATTGAATACTCTTAATGAAACGTTTATTGACAATCATTGCTATGTATACAAGAAATAATTGGTCATGTAGAAGAGATATTGGGTTTCTGTGAAAAGATCATTTCTCGTAATTTTTTCTTAAAATGGCTTGTACTAGTGATTGTGCTTGTTTTTATTTATAAATAATATCGGCTTCATTCATTTCTTGCATGAGGCTTTTAAACAAATCTGCAATGATTGTACATTATATTTAGCCCATTGGATACCAGACTTTACTTTTGGTCACCTACGCGAGAAATTTTCACATGGCTGTCAAAACAAATGACTAAGGGCTAAATGCTACTCTTACATTTTATGACGCTAGTATTCATTGCTCTATGACGATTTTTCTGTTTTAAAAAACGCATCCATATCTTTGCTGATAGCAGTACGTACCGTTTAGCAGTGCGAGTTCATTTTTTGAAACGTTTTGGCCTTAGCTTAGAAGCATCTTTTCCAGTTTGAAACTGGTGGGTGGATGTACTAAAGATAAGCTAACTTTAATAATAGCCATCGCTTTACTACATCTAATCTACGTCACACGTAACCTTCTGTAGAGCGGCTAACTGACTGCTTAACTATAATAATGATAAAATACACGTCTCTTGTAAGAAATCTTTATCGACCTGGATGGCTTTCATTCGCTGTTGATTTAATCGCCTTATCAACCGTTACAAACCTGTTTATATCCGTGAAATAAAGTTTTTAAATTGTAAATACCACTAATATTTCAATACAACGTTACTCTATGTAATCTCGGTAGTTACAAATATGACTGTACAGATACATAATATAGCGTGCAAATTATGCTCTTCCCTGGATTATTTTGGTGCATAGGCAAAAATCGTATACCACGATCTAGATAAAATCATGCAATTTATTACACCGTCATAAAATATGTAACCATTCACAGTTAATAGTCAAAATCACTACAATTGAACTAAAACTCATCTTGAAGATGTATTTAAGACTGTGAAAAAGTCAATATCAAAGAACCTCACTTTCACGACACTGAAACGGAAATGTTCCAGTTGAAACTCAACAGTAAAAGATATTTGAGAATGCACATTTGTTGTATATGTTATTAAAGAGTGGTATTTGAACAAAGGACCTTTTAAAAAATAAATTTATTCACTGTTTCATGGCGACCAATGCTTGTAACTTATTGTACAAGGAATGATGTATAATGAAAAAGAACTGCATTTATAACATACCTGGACACATGTCTGTGAGCCCCAATAAGCCGCAAAGTGAAGACTAGTTTTCTTTCCACTTCTCACAAAATTCCTGGTTAATTCATTTTGCTTTAGCTTAAATACAATTTCATCTATTTCTCCGTCTGTTTAGATGAAATGATATTTAAAGTGGGAGACTATAATTGCATAATAATACATTTTTTAATAAACACATGATTAAAATACGAAAACGTTATAATGAGAGGGAAAACAGTGAAGAAAAGAAACGTTCAGTGATCTGTTACTTTACTTTAATCCTTACCGTTTTTTAATTAACATTCGGTTACCTAATCCACAGTAATGACTCATTCATATTGAATAATTTCACAACTTAGTCAGTACATTTGCTAAAAGTTACTGAATATTTAATAGTCCTGATGCTCCGCTGTTAGATGAAATTTTGTCTGCGTTTTACGCTTTACATTTAAATAAACATTCGACCAAATCATTGCAAAAGCATTAGGTTCGAAATATTTTTCAACTAATATTACTCAGTCCATCTCATCAAGAATAATAGATTTCAGATACTTAGGTAGCAAATCATCAGTGAATTAACATATCAGCTGGCATATATTTCGTAATGACTGTGCTTGTAAGATAAGTGATATCTCCATAGTTTTGACCACTAATGAGGTTTTCAGTGTTGGATATATGTCTTATTAATGACTATGGTAATAAAAAGTATAGATTCATGGTTTTTAGAACAATTTGGTGATAAATTCTATGTTACAGACAAACAAGCTATGATCAAATAATCTAAGCGGTACAATGACTTATCACTATACATCAAAGTTATTGTCTGTAGGCACGTATAAATTCCAGAACACTATAGTCTCCAGATTATTCAGAGTTGAGGCAGAACGGTTATTTAATTACGATTAAAATGTTTAAAAAATTCGGTTGGAAAACTATTTGTAAACTATTACCTATAAGTCAGGATAAACGCCATGTTGATTAAAATGTTCTAAGACTGATGTTTATTCCATAGCTCTCGAGGATGACAGAAGAAATATTCTCAAATCAAACAAAAGCTTTTTACCTAGCATCCTGTAAACATGAGCTAAACGGCCATCGAACGTGAGTGTCCATTTGAAGTTACGGCATCGAATCAGTGCAAAAAACAAATACCAACGTATCGTTAATAGAGACAGTGTATTACAAAGGAAACAAAGTAAGACATTTTCCAAACTTCAGATTCCTAAAGTTTACATCATTAGGTGATTTTACTTGAAATGTTAATAAGTTAAACTAACAAAAAGTTGAATTCTATATCACGTGTTAAGAAGGCTCTGAAATCGTACATTATGGTGACAAAGTGTACGAGGCTACGTATTTAGTGATTATGTAATGACACTGACTTAACCAAATAAGAGTTCATAAACCAAAATCAATTAAACCTTCACTGCTGGTTTTCGGCAGTTCTTTATGTCATCTTAGTCAGCAATCAATTCTAACTTAAAACTAACCAAACTGTACATTCACTTTCAAATCGGTTGGTTCCAAGTCTTTTATGCCTATATACATCGTTCACTTATCTTCATATTTACATACTTAGCTTTCCTTCTGCTTAAGAAGGACGCACAGCTGAATCTGATCGAATTACTTGAAAAATTATGAGAGCCTTTCTCAAAGCTCACTAGGTGATCAGTCGTAAGTCACCTACAAAATAAAATATGCTAACCTTATGGGCCATTGATTAAATGTCATTGTCTCGGATCGAGTTTGCATAAAACAAAACCGTGCATAAATATCTAAATTTCGTAATGCCGTGGATAAAATGTATATGGAAACAGAAAAATAAGTAATGCACTACCTTGTAATTTTTGAGTGTCTTTTCCATTGGGATCATCGGGTAAAAGACCTGTATAAAAATGGTCATAAGGGAGGCATAAAGAACAAAAGTCTAAGTAGTATATCATAATTAAATGCATGACACCAACCCTTTGGGATATGTGGAGTATCGATGTCTGAGCATGGGGTTGAAATTTCTCGTTTGCATTTCACAAGGCTGCTATCCGTCTAAAATGCCGAGGGAATTATCAATCGACAAAACTTTTCGTACGAATTTTAAACATTTTTTAGACTGAAGAACCACGTAATTGATTGAGTCCCTCAATTCAGCGAAAATCGAGTCACTTGGGATGGTAGGGCTGAAAGATTTGAGTTGTTGTAAGATGACTTTAAGGCTGTCCTCTAGCTTTGAGTGGTCATTCATTCGTCTCTTATTTTTGTTCGTGTGTCAAACTCAATAACCTGGAGAATGAGTTCTCTATTAATAGTTCGTCATGTTTTCCTACATGGGAAGTCATATGTAAAGATCTAGAAACAGTAACTATCAGAAGCAGCAATCAAATGCGCGAGGTTGAGTGAACAGTAGAAATAAAGAGGCTTTTCATCGAACCATATCACTTGGAACGAAAAAAATCACTGGACCATACAAAAGATATGATTAATAGAATAAAGATATAAGTGCTAGTTTGTATGTAATCTATAAGGCATGACAAAAGCAACAGAAATTTTTTGACGTAATTGTTCAGTGATTATTAAGACGATAAAGTTTAATCGAAAGGGATATACATTTAGTGATTGTTAAATGAACAAAGACAACTTGTGTTCAATGGGAAGCCGCAGATGAAAAAACTACTGATATATGTTAAAACACATAAAGATTATAAAACTATTTTCGCCGAACATCAACTAAGTTGGTGGATCGTGGAAACACATACAGATAATGAAAATTAGACGAACGACCACTATTCATAAACAGTATGACTGAGAAGAATCTAAACAAACAGGTCTCGCTCAATCTCACCACGAGAACGTCTTTAGAATTAATATTGAATAGCGAGTTATAATGAGGCTACCTCACTTAATATCATTTCTTAAGTCAGGCAACGTCTTCTATTGTCAAAAATATAGGCGATAGAACGGCGTCTAATTAAACGAGTCACATTTTTCAGCCATGCTAATTCCTTAATATTGTTCTTATGTGTTAAATTTTGATTCTCCAACTTTAATACTTTTACATTGTTGAATCAAGAGACATTTTCTCGTCAACTTAATAAAGATTATGAATTCCAATATGTGCTTCGTTATTTCAACCAGATTTCGTGACTTCCAATCTATTGATGACATCTGCATTATTTTGGGCTCGTCACTAGATTCCTGCAAGCCATTTTTATTAGTAAAGTGAAAAGATTACCAGTCAAAGGAGTTGTCATCTCAACGACGTTTTTGAAATAACTTGGTTTTTTACAGATAGTACGTAATGAGTTTCACATAATTGAGACACGACCAAGTCGTGTCTATTCGTCTGGGTAGCCGTTTTGGTGGATTTCAACCTCAAGATCCATCATTCAACATGAGCGATTATGATCTCTATCGGCCATAGAGTGGCTATAGGTGAATTTCCAGTGAAACTGATTTCGCTATGGCTTGTTTCATGCAGCTAATTACTGTAAGGATGCCACAAGCATTTGTAGTTTGACAACACTTTAACCAGTAGCTCGTTCTAAAATGAATCGTATCCACCAAGTGAAGTCCAAAGTCAGAAGCGAGGAGGTTTAAAAATATATTTGATGAGCTATCAGCATATCGAGAAGCGACTGATCTAAACTGGCTAGCGGTTGCGGGAGAAGTTGAGTACTTCGCTCCCACTCGTGATTTAGTGTGGACGGATGACAGAGCGCCTTCAGCTAGGTGAGTCCATTAAAATTAATGTGGTAAGCATCCAGCAGAGAAGACTTACAAAGTTATTGATTTTGTGGATTTACGACCTTCAAGCTACCTCGAGACAATATGAAACCATCGCGTTGATTAAGTAGATGGAGAAAATAAGATCGGTAACAACTTAGGTTGAGTGATTATAAATTGGCAGAAAACATCTGGGCAATGTCAAATCCTTATAGCTCAAGCGTTCGTTTACTTCCTTATTTTGTATAGGCACTATGTGTATTGTTATATATACTGAGTACTGAAAAGTTGGTGCTTGAGAAGGAGAACCTCGAGCTCCAACTGCCCTGGTTCTTAGTCTGAATAGAGACCTGTCCAACCACTAATCTGGTTTTTCAATATATATGAAGAGAAGTACCCACCGGCAAAAATTAAGGATGAACCTTTCAAAATCCCACATCATGTATATCAGCAAACAGTATACGTTACTTGTGACACCTGTTCCCCACGAACATCCACAGATCTTGGTATATGTTGCCACCTGCATAAACACTAGCAACAGATGACGTAGCTTAAAAATTCACTACGCATCATTCCCCCTGACAAAGTTATCTGTTATTGTCTGTTATTGATTACTCATGCCAAACTCACCTCATTTACAAAGGTTTAAAACCGAGAGTGACTCAAGAACGAGTTCAGATTGAAAAACCTTTCTCTTTACAACACCCTCATATATCTACTTAGAATTGTTTTATACTGTTAAGAATGCACCTGATTTCTCAACCTCAAAAGCACAATAGAATGAACCTTTATGAAAATGGTTGAATCTTTCAGAGACAATTTGAATGCGTGAGATGTGAGAGGCCACTGGAGTCAAGTTGAATGCACAGGTAAACCATATCCCAACCTCAAGATTGTTTCAACCCAGTGATAGATAAAGGTGAGTTTCTCCACCCGTTTCAGTTATATCGTTGCTGATATACATCGCTTCACCGATAGTCACGTTGGTTTCTGACCTGAGTGTATACCTCGTTAAGCTAAGTAAACACGCTAGATCTTAGTCCCCTTGGAAACTTTAAAATCCAAGACTAATGTGCTTCAGGATGCCGCGGTCAATGATAGACTTGAAGATAACACAGGTATTCAGTGTTTGACAACGCTTCTACCAGTAACACCTAATATAAATTGTACCCACCAAGAGAAATCAAAAGACAGAGTCGAGCAGATCGGAAGAGTATATTTGGCGATGACCAATATATCGGAATTCTCTGATCTAATCTGGCTAGCGATTGCGGTTGATGTTGAGCACGGCGTTATCACACGTGATCTGCTGCGGATGCCTGACCGAGCGCCTTCAGCTAGATGAGTCCACCAAAACATATGGTCAGCATCCAATGTCGAAAACTTAGAGCTATTTATTTTGGGATTTATTTACCGCTACAGATCACTCCCACCCTAGTGGGGCAGTGACGACCCAAAGACGTGGCCAGCCAGAAGTTTAAACCCAACGAGTCTGTCGTAGGTAAACACTCTTCTGATAGCTTACTAGGTTTAGCAGCGTCCGGTCGCCTTTCCTCACTATATGGGTCCGAGGTACAACACAGTAAAAAAAGAAAAAGTACAATGAAAACTTTGACTCCTCGTAAGCTGCATCGTTCTTTTCCAGCCATTCTGGAAAAGAAAAAAGAAAATGTAAGTGCATATCGAGGTACACTCGTATGTGCGTAAAAACACAATGTCGACGTAAAAATGGAAAATCAACTCGAGCACACGTATTAGCGTTAAAAAAATTTTTTAAATAAAAATATAGTGGCGGTCCCATGAGTACAGTTATTCAAAAAAGTATAACAGCAAGTGATTTTCTTAGGATTCAGTCAAAAACTTTCGAAATGGCATAGAAGAGGTACTCAGTAGCACCTTTCCATTAGGTGCGGACACTTGAAGAAGCCCAAATGTCACATTTTGAAAAACATCCCTATCAGTCAAGAAGCAGCATCCCACTCCAAAAATAAAGAAGTCTCAGCTCAGGTTTCTTCAAAGACAAGGAATTAATGATTGTTCATTGAAAAGGTTCATGAAACCAGCAGGGGTTAGGCAGTTGTCAAGAGACCCATGATCACCAAGCAGTTAGTTGTCATTCTGGACTCGAGAAGAATATGCGATCAGTAACTGTAAATAAGTTAAAAGAAAAGCAAAACATGATTTTTACATAAACAGAAAATCTCAGTTGTTACACAGAAAAACCGAGCAACACAGTGATGGATCAATCAATACCTTTGGAGATATATCCCTTAAAACAACAGGGATTCCCTGTGTTCCACAGTCGTCGAACTCAAAAAAATTGTTATCGGTATTCATCTTTTCAGCCAAACAGGCACTTCTCATGCTAATAATGTTATTTTCCCTTCTCTACATTCCAATAACACCAACGTCACAATTACGCCTGTTGTTAATCATTATTCACGCCGAAACGTCTCGTTTATCTGACGCACTCTGGATGAAGTATAAGGTTTTTGGAACACGTAAACTATCATTGAGCGTAGGACACTGAATAACGTTTATTTTTGTCGCATTTGTTTGTATCTTTGCGCCTAAGTGTTTCTTATAATATGCTCATATATACGTGCATTAATTTTCGTAAAAAGTCAAGAACCGTTGTGCGAGATTTTTTACGCCATCGCATATTATCTGTTTATGTGTCTACCAGTTTCGTTTTCTTTTGCACGTAAGAGTGCATTTCGAAAGGAATTTACAATTTCTCCATTTTTCCAGGACGGATGCAAAAGGTAGGAAACCGACGAGGAATACGATAAGTAGAACTCTTCATCGTACATTTTTTCACAGGCACATTTAACACATGGCTGGTCATATTAGAGGAAGACGTCCAGATGGTGTTAGGCACAGCAAGCTATCAGAAGGGAGTTTATCGATGACAAGCTCGCTGAATCTAAACTGGATGGTCACGTCTTGGGGTCATCACTACACTACTAAAAAGGGGCGGGCTGTAGTGGTAAATAAACCCCAAAAATAATTAGTTCTGCATGTCTTCGATATGGATGCTAGCTAGAGGTGCCCGGTCGTGAATCCACACCAGATTACGAATAAGCACGTGGTGCTACGCTTCGCTTACCGCTAGCCAGCTTAGATTAAGCTCATACTGATATACCGATAGCCTTTCGAAAAATATCTTCGAACCTCTTCATTTCTGACTGCTGGCCTGACTGGATTAGTATACTTCGATTAAAAAGGTGCTACATGTAAAGGGACTATCAAAGCCCGAATATCTGCAGCACTTTAAGCTTCCTCTAAATTGGTGACTATGACTCAGGTTTCATGGCACTTTACTCTAACTTGACTTATCGCTCCAAACTAACTGCTCATTGTTGCTCATTTTTCGTAAGTAATCGTCTGTTGACTTTTCACTACCCAATAGCACAGACTATATATCATCACATCACAAAATCGTTTTCAGCTACTTCAAATTATCAAATCTGAATGGCTGATGTAGAAGCCTTTAATTTGCTACATAATTCCAATTTTAAAGACGATAGATTGTAAGCAGTATGCAACGAATGAAATAGATGAAATTCATGCTTTTCTTTTCAATTCTTTATCACCAAATTCTTTATCTTGTTTAACGAGCCCGATTCATAACTTGAATGACTCCAAAAAGCCTTCGTATGAAGTGACAATGATAACGATGCAATACGAATTCTTGCATTCTTGACGTAAGCTAAATAATAGACACTCAATTAATAAGTTCACTTGGTATAGTTTGCTTGTATCTCCGCTTAGTGAATATCAACTTCGGCATGCAGGCACATCCAGCCGACGAGTCCTAAATAGAACGAAACGCCCGTCCTGGATCCCACTGGTATCTAGCGCCCATCTTTGCTTATATTATCCAAATATTATACCAAGCAATCGGCTTAAGATGTTTTTGTAAACGAATATGTTGTTGGCCTTCTGCTTGCGATTGGTAGAAACAGAGCACACAAAGCACCTCAGAATGTTGTTTGAGCGCTTAATAATATTACACCATTATAAAAACAGAAAGAATTGGGTTTAGAAGAGCAACTCAGTTGTTATTAAGTGATACTGAAACGTTCTATAAATTACAACAACTGAGTAGAATTCGTATTTAGGAATTTCAGTCGTGAACAAATGGTGAAATATCAATGTAAGATTTCCACTAAGTGGTTGAATGAACGCATTATAAATTACGTACTGAAAAAACTGTTTAAGAAGCATACGGTTATCCAAAAGGACTAGGAAATGATGCATATCCATTAATCCGCGGAGAATCCCTTTCTTAGTGTTCAATACGCGTGAATAGCAGTGATTTTTCTTTTGAATTAAGCTGCCGAATTTCGAACACGAAAGGATAATTTTCATTGGTGATTTCATTTCAAGTTCTTATCTATCTTTTCCATTATGGAATTTGGGATCCACCACAGCAGCCCTTTATATATATGTGGTGGACCAGACAAATATGAACGCAAAAAGTATAGACAAAGTTACTAGAGATAAATAGTAATATTAATATATACAGTTAATTATTACAAATACAATAAAAATTAGGGGCGTTACTTAAATTGACCCAACGTTGCATGTTCTGATTAGGTCCGGTAATGTCAATCCACAATTATGAATGCTTGATGATTCTGAGCAAGTTGGCGAACTCTATAGTGATATAATCCCACGTAGGATGTGATATATTCCAATTACAGTCTATAAATAATGATAATATTTGATTTAGACTTCAGTTAACTCAATCGCAAATGAAAATAGAACGAGGGGTGCGTGAATAGTAATGTATTTGTTAGTCGGCAAGAATACGTCACGCTATGTTAGAATTACAACGGAAAAAGTCTTCAAGGTCATTTACTTAAACAACAGGTACAATCATTTAATAATAAATGTACATGCGGTGAGAAATTGACAAAATAAATACAAATAATATTAAAAACTATTTACAAAATAAGCTTGTTAGAGTTATCTCCACATAGCTCCCCCCAGAGTGTCCGGAGGTAACACTGGTTATAATAACGACAACAAAAAATGTGAGAATATGATATATATGTATATAAAAAATAATATTTACAGTTATAACCAACAAAGATGTGGAGATGCGTATGATATGTATATTAGTGAGATATACCGTGTGTTATCGTGTGAAAAAAATAATAACAGTGATGTCACAGAATAACAAACACAAAAAAAATGAATATACTGTCATTTAATGTCTTGTTTAGCTAACAATGATAATGTGTAAAACTGTTAATGATACACACACGCACAAACAAAATTGAACTGTTTATTTTTGTGTATAATGAATAAATAATTACATAGAGTTTACCCGTTTATTATTGTAACAAAATTTTTTTTGAAAAAAAAGTGACAAAACGAATAATTGTGGGAAAATGTGATTAATCATATACACTGTTAAAAAAATTTTTTTAGATGGGATTGATAGTGTAGGTCCTCGATAATTGTTTGCTTTGATTGTTTTAGTTTTTTTTATATGGCAAAATGTACGTAACGCTTTGGTTTTTTTATAAGTCTCCCAGAACGTGTTAAACAAGAGGGTGTAGTGCTAAGTTTTTCCTCTTCCTCTTGTTTCTTAGCAATAGATGGGAGTGATTGTTTGTTCGCAGTATTGTCTTCTGTGTCATGAGGGACTTCGTAGAAAGCTGGTTTTATTCGGTCTATAGAAATTGTCTCATGGTTCCCATTTTTGTTGATAATGAAATATTTGTCAGTGCGTTTTATTACTTTATAAGGGCCTTCATATGGTGGTGTCAGTGGCTTTTTTACCGCGTCTACTCGAACAAAAACAAATTTGCACGTTTCTAAATGTTTATCAAGATGGACTCGGTTGTCGTATTCTCGAGGTGGTATTGCTCTGATGCTCTGCATCATTTGTAGTAATCTGCTTACAAAGCGAGAAGGGTCTCCTGGTGTTGTGGGTTCATTCTTGACCAGTTGTCCTGGTAACGTTAATGTCGTGCCATAGACTAGTTCAGCGGCCGTGCATCCGATGTCTTCCTTTACAGACGAGCGAATCCCAAGGAGAACGAGCGGTAAAGCATCGCTCCATTTTGAAGGGTCCGGTTGTGCCATCAGAGAGCTTTTTAGTTGGCGATGGAATCTTTCAACCATGCCATTAGCTGCCGGATGATAAGCTGTCGTTTTAACATGATTTACTCCAAGAAGTTTAGTGAACTCGTTAAATAGGACGGATTGGAATTGGGGACCGCGATCTGTTGTGATTGTTGATGGTACGCCAAAGTTGGATATCCAGCGGTCGAGGAAAACTGAAGCCACTGTCTCTGCCGATGTGTCTTTAATGGGGCATGCTATGGCCCATCTTGTGAACCTATCTATTGCGGTGAGGATATGTGTGAAAGAGTTTGATGGTGGCAGAGGCCCAACTAAATCTAAATGCACGTGCTGGAAGCGTTTGTCAGGGATAGGGAACTTCCCAATTGGACTGTAGGTGTGTTTTTGCGTCTTACTGCGTTGGCACTGGAGACAGTTACGTGTCCAACGTTTAACATCCGAGTTGATTTTAGGCCACACAAAACGTTCGGTAATGAGCTTTGTTGTTGCTCTGATGCCTGGATGTGAAAGACCATGCAAATGCTGAAATATTTTTCGTCGGCAAGCATGTGGGACAAACGGACGATTGTTGCCTGTTGAAGTGTCGCACATGATGAATTCGTCTGAAAGGGGAATAGGTACAGGTTTGAGGTCTAAGCTAGACTTTTCTTTGCAGACTTTTAATTCTGCATCGTCTGCTTGTAATTTAGCCAAGGTTTCAAGGCTGATGTCATGATTGAGTACCATCGTATTGATATCCCTCCTAGATAGTGCGTCTGCAACAATGTTCGAGTGACCTTTGATAAACCTGATGTCTGTGGTAAATTGTGAGATATAATCAAGTTGTCTTGCTTCTCGTGGGGAGTGTTTGTCATACGATGTGCTAAAAGAATGGCAAAGGGGTTTATGATCTGTCATAATGATGAAATCACGACCCTGTAGCAAAAAGTTGAAATGTTTTACTGCTAAATACATAGCTAAGAGTTCGCGTCCAAAAGTACTATAACGTTCTTGTGCTGGCGATAATCTCTTGGAGAAAAAGGCAATGGGGGTAATCTTGTTGTTTACCCGCTGTTGTAATACTGCCCCGACGGCTTTTTGTGAAGCATCCGTGCATAGGATCAACAGTGTTGTGGGGTCAGTATTTAGGTGTTGGAGCATGGTAGCATTAGCAATCATGGATTTAGCTTTTTCAAATGCTACTTTGGCATCGGAAGGTAACTTGAATATTTGGTTCTTTTCTTTCTTGGTACCTGATTTATCGTTTTTCAGTAAATCTGTCAATGGCTGTAGTACATCGGCACAATTTGGTAGAAATCGTCGATAAAAATTACATGTTCCAAGAAAACGGCGTAGTGATTTTACTGAGGTTGGTTCTGGATAGCTGGAGATGGCTTTGACTTTCTCTTCAAGCGGTTTAATTCCTTGGGAATCAATGTGGTGTCCCAGGAATTCCAGAGATGAGGCGCCAAATATACACTTCGAAGGGTTGATTACAACACCATAACTTTTGAAACGTTCAAAAAGCGTGTGTAGGTGTTGAACATGTTCGTCAATGGAAGAACTAGCGATTAAAACATCGTCGATATAGACAAATACGAAATCCAAACCTCTAGTTACTTCGTCCATAAATCTCTGGAAGGTTTGAGCGGCGTTTTTTAGTCCGAAAGGCATCCTCAAGAATTCAAACAAGCCAAAAGGTGTGATTACAGCTGTTTTCTCGATATCCTCAGGTGCCATCGGTATTTGATGGTATGCTCGGACTAGATCTAACTTTGAAAAAATCTGTTTTCCATGTAGATTTAAAGAAAAATCATGCAGGTGAGGGATCGGATACCGGTCTGGGATAGTCTGGTTATTCAATCGGCGATAATCTCCACATGGGCGCCAGTCTTGATCTTTCTTGGGAACCATATGCAGCGGCGAGGCCCAAGGACTGTTAGATTGTCTGATTATCCCAAGTTGCATCATATGTTCGAATTCTCTCTTAGCGAACTGCAACTTGTTTGGAGGGAGTCTTCTCGCCCTGGCGCGAATAGGTGGTCCTGTAGTAGTAATACTGTGTTGGACATGATGTGTGGAGCATTCGTTTTGGTAATCAGCTCTGGTTATACTTTCATACTTCGACAGGATATCGGTGAAAATTTTGTTTTCAGGTCTTAACATACGGACTCCATGAATTTCGTAACTGGAGATAGTTGTGCCACTGACCTGTAAGCTTGTGTTTTTGTCGATTAGTTTCTTTTTTGCCATATCTACAAGTAGGTTGTAAGCACCGAGAAAATCGGCCCCGATAATGGGTTGTTTGATTTCAGCTACGATGAAAACCCATGTGAAACGTCTCCGGAGACCGAGATCTAAAATAAGTGATTGTTCGCCATAAGTTTTAATGACTGTGTTATTGGCTGCGACTAGAGACAATTTAGTACTCTGAGGGTGCCGTCGTTGAGAGAGGTGTAATGGGATAATGCTGATTTCGGCTCCTGTATCGACCAAAAAATCTGAGCCCGAAATTCGATCCCTGACATGAAATAGACGGCTCGGGTAGTGGCCAGAAACAGGCGCCGCCATCACTGTCTGGCCGGGCCGTTTCCCTGATTCTCTGTGTCAGACGCAGAAAATGTGCACGGTCGTGTACAACGCCGTGCTTTGGTGCCGTATTTTTGGTGGTACCAACAAACATCAGATGTTCGCTTCGGTGACCGAGACCGTTGTCTAGAAAAAGATCTTCGTCTGGAGGGGGATCTCGATTGTCTAGCTTGGATGGTTGCTATGGTCGATTGCAGTGACGCCAGCTGGCTCGTTAATTGTGTTAACTGCTTTTGAAAGGAGGCTAAACAGCTAATATCTGTTGGTCCAGGTGGTTGCAATGAGTTCACACAGTGATTGTCGTGGTATACTTCCATCATTTTATCTGCCATGTCGGCTAAGTCATCAAGTGCGACGGATTTCCCTGAAACACTGAGAATTTGTCGAACGCTGTGTGGTAATCTTTGAAACCACATTTGCTTTAGGAGGGCTTCGTCTAGCTTGTATGGACCGGCGAGTTGTTTCATGTGGCGGAGAAGTTGCGAGGGTCTTTTATCACCCAAGTCACAAGATGTTAACAATTGTTGTAGCCTTTTCTCATCTGAGACCGTGGTGCGTTGAATAACTGCTGCTTTTATCTTATCATATGGTTCAGATTCTGGCACGTGATCGATTAAATCACCAACTTCAGCGGCAATCTCAATAGGAAGTGCGCCGACTACGTATGCATACTTTGATGCCTGGGATCTTATGCCTCTAGCCATGAATAAAGCTTCAATTTGAGCAAACCAGACTCTGGGATTATTAATACAGTACGTTGGTAATCTTAACTCTGAGATAGCGTTGATCGAGTTTAAAGCATTATCCTCTGGTTGTGGAGAGTTTAGAAGGTTGGTCGGTGAACTATCTATATCAATAAGTTTACCCGGAGAGTTCATAATGACATAAACAAAAAATGGTGTCGTGCCATGTAATAATAATAATAATATGTAGATATATATAGTAAATGTCTATAAAAAAAACCGAGGCTCACCAAATAATTGTGGTGGACCAGACAAATATGAACGCAAAAAGTATAAACAAAGTTACTAGAGATAAATAGTAATATTAATATATACAGTTAATTGAACCGCGCTAGTTTCAAAAAGGGCAGTGATTTTTGTACTTGTTGTGGTTATACTTGCTTTTGGTACTTATTGCACTAAAAAGCATTCTTGGTCTACTTTAACTAAGAGTTCTTTGGTTAAAGTTTGAAATTTTTTACTAAATTTTGTCCTGAGTACCTGTTTTTAGTCCTTGACTAACATTTGTGTTCACATTGTTATCATTTTTTGTTTTTAAACCTTTTAAATCGAATTAAAATGGTTGGTAAGACTCACAAATGTGGGCAACCAAATTGTTTGTTCTCCGTTGAGGAGGGAATGCAGTGTGACGACTGTAAAAAGTGGTATCACAAAATGTGTACACGACTAAGTCCGACGGCTTACAAAAGATGCTCGAAGCCTAACTCGCATTGGCTTTGTATGTTCTGCTGTACGGATAAAAAGGTACTAATACAGGAGGCTATGGGCCTATTGGCTTTGGCCTGCAAGAAAAATGATGGCGGAAGCACTGATAACAGGAGCACTGACGATGAAGAATGTGTTAGTGTAGTAAGTGCTGCTACTGGACCCATTAAACACCTGACTGCGGTTGACGGGAACGTGAAATCTCCGTTGACATTAACGAGAAATGAAGTGTCGCTTGATAATGACATCGGCAGTCATACACCTCTAGTCGAAATAGAAGATCCGGATAAAACTGTCACCGTTCCACATAGTCCAGGTGTGGCTGTTCTGAGTGGTGACAAATGGACTTCGGTAAGAAGAAAAAAAATAAGAAGAAAAAGGCTGTAGGCAAAACGCAGCTGGTCAGCAAAACATTGGAAGGGATGTTATCAGAAAAAAAGTTCCCACCGCGTGAAAAGACAGATCTCTCTGATAGATCAGTCATTTTTCATAAGATAAGAGAATCTTCAGATACTGAACCAAAGGCAAGATTTGAACATGATCTCAATCATATTAAGACATCATTAAGTAAACTACTCCCAGATACAGTTTCAGGAGTTAGTATTTGTAAGCTTTATAGAATAGGAAAAAAGGTGGATTCCGAAAGTCCTCAGAAAAACCGCCTCCTAAAGGTTACATTCAACACGGTGGAAGAAAGGAACCTGATTCTAAGTAATTCACGTAAACTGATTGGATCCGGAATATATGTCCGTGAGGACCTCAGCCTAGCTGATCGTATTAAGAGAAGAGCTGCAGAAGCGGAAATAAACGAGCGTCGCCGAAACGGTGAAAGAAACCTCGTTCTTAAGGGTTTTCAGATTGTAAAAGTTCGGAGCAAAACGATCCCCAAGCCACTCTGGGTGGCAAGGGAAAGCTCTCCACAGACTTAAAAGTGTGCTACACAAATGCTCGCAGCCTACTAAATAAAATGGCGGAGCTGAAGTCAGTGGTGGACAAAGAAAAACCGGACGTTATCGCTGTCTCGGAAACTTGGTTAACGTCAGAAGTATTAGATAGTGAAATCCAATTGACTGGTTTCATAACCAGTAGGGCTGATAGATTAAACCGAAGGGGAGGCGGGGTTATTTGTACACCAAAAGTACCCTAACCATAAGATTAGCTGAGACAGTAGCACATGTTTCAGGGACATGTGAACTGGTGAGATGTAAGTTGAAATGCCGAAGGCAAGATATTGAAGTAGTTGTAGTTTATCGCAGTCCAGAATGTGTAGCAGATGATTTTCTCCTTAGTAAACTTAAGTCCTGGTGTAACAACGGTAAAAGCCTTGTAGTAGGCGACTTTAATGCACCATATATAAACTGGGTTAACTTAGAAGTAGGGTCATCCATATCGTCGTTCGACTCCAAACTGTTAGAAACCTCGATTGGACTAGCATTATTCCAACACATTAGAGATCCCACAAGATACGACTTAAGAAACTCTTCTCTTTTAGATTTAGTCTTCACACACGGTGATGACGTTGGTCAAACGGCTTTTCTCCCACCACTTGGGAGAAGTGACCATGCAGTCATCTTATTCAAATTCATGGCTGAGATTGCTTGTCAAACAATTGCGCCGGCCCGTCCTAACATATGGAAGGCAGATATGCAGGCAATTAACTCCGCAGCATCGGCTGAGAACTGGGAAATCGACTCAAAGGCATCAGTACAAGAGGCATGGACTCTATTCAGGCAGTTATACAATCGGGTAACTCAACCATACATACCCTGGACTGTCCCAAAGAAAAAGAAGCACGGACATCCCTGGATAGGGCGGGATATTCGACGCTTACTAAGACAAAAGAAGAAATGCTGGGATGTTGCCATCCGCCTTGGCACAGCGGGTACGATGGAACGTTACAGATCGATAAGAAACGAGTGTATAACTAAAATTCGGGAAGCGCAAAGAAAATATGAAATGCAGCTGGCAGAATCTGCACTCAAGCAGCCCAAGAGGATATTCTCGTACATAAACTACAGAACAAGGATTCATCATTGGATTCCCAACCTAATTAAAGTAGGAAGTGAATCTGAAATGATAGAGGAAGATCAGGAAAAAGCTGAGGTTATGGCTGACTACTTTGGGGCAGTTTTCACTCAGGAACCTCCTCTAGAGAAAGAACCAGACCCAATTACAGAGTCAACAAACCAGCTGCTCACCGTGGACTTCGACCAAAACGATGTGCTTAAGGCTCTTAGCACCCTAAACATGGAGAAGTCAACAGGACCAGATGAACTACACCCTAAAATCTTGAGACATATTGCCCAATATATCGCAGCCCCACTGACTGTGATATTCAAAATGTCACTTGACCAAGGTGTGTTACCTATGGACTGGAAGGACGCAATCGTCACTCCCATACATAAAACAGGACCAAGACAAGTTCCATCAAATTACAGACCCGTAAGCCTCACCAGTGTTGTAATTAAAATACTGGAAAGAATAATCAAACGGACCATAACAGCATTTATGGAAACCAATAACTTGCTGAACATGGCACAACATGGTTTTAGAAAGGGTCTATCCTGTACAACGAACCTCCTTATAGCTAGGGAGCTCTGGATTAATGCGCTAGACAACGGAAACTCAGTGGATGTTGTCTACATAGACTTCAGTAAGGCTTTTGACAAGGTGCCAACTAATAGGCTGCTATTGAAGTTGACAAACCTTGGTATTGCCGGACCTCTTTTAAAATGGATTAAGGATTTCCTAGTAGGTCGTAGGCAAAAAGTAAGAATAAATTCCAAGTGCTCCATCTGGAGACCAGTACTTAGTGGAGTACCCCAAGGTTCCGTCTTAGGTCCTTTACTTTTTATAATGTACGTTAATGATCTTACAAGTATAGTACAGTCTCCAATGTTATTATACGCTGACGATGTAAAAATTTGGCGAGTAATAACTGGAGACAAAGACGCATTTACTCTTCAGGCGGACTTAAATAATATGATAAACTGGTCTAAAGAGTGGCTAATGCCTATCAACTCGGAAAAGTGTGTCTACATGCACTTGGGGGATTCAAAGGTTAATACGTACAACATAGGGGATGTGTCATTACCCGTAGTCCGGTCTCATAAGGACCTAGGGGTGACAGTGAGCAATGATCTTAAGACGACGGCCCATTGCCGGGAGGTCGCAGTTAAGGGGTTTCGAACCCTCTGGGCTTTAAAAAGGACATTCACTAAGCTTGATACTACCATGTTCACCACATTATACACATCCTTAGTGAGAACTAAGTTAGAGAACTGTGTTCAGGCTGCAAGCCCCTGTTTAAAGGTGACTCGGACATAATAGAAAAGGTACAGAGGGCAGCTACGCGTGCAATTCCGGAACTCCGGGTTTATCATATAAAGAGCGGCTTGAAAAACTGAACCTCTTTACTCTGTCCTATCGCAGACTAAGGGGAGATCTAATATTGATGTACAGAATACTGAGAAATGATTTCGGACCTAACTTATTCTCTCTCTTTCTTCCCACTAGATCGGGACACCTCAGAGGACATAGCAGGCGAGTAGAAAAGCCAAGAACGAACAAAATACCCGTGGCATACAGGTTTTCACACCGAGTCATCAATACTTGGAACCTGCTGCCTGAAGCAGTGGTGTCCGCACCTTCAATTGACTCTTTCAAGAGAAGACTGGACACTCACAGAAGCATACTAGAAAAGGAATAACATAGGCCGTAGGCCTTCTCTCCTTACTACACAAATCTGAATCTGAATCTGAATACAATAAAAGTTAGGGGCGTTACTTAAATTGACCCAACGTTGCATGTTCTGATTAGGTCCGGTAATGTCAATCCACAATTATGAATGCTTGATGATTCTGAGCAAGTTGGCGAACTCTATAGTGATATAATCCCACGTAGGATGTGATATATTCCAATTACAGTCTATAAATAATGATAATATTTGATTTAGACTTCAGTTAACTCAATCGCAAATGAAAATAGAACGAGGGGTGCGTGAATAGTAATGTATTTGTTAGTCGGCAAGAATACGTCACGCTACGTTAGAATTACAACGGAAAAAGTCTTCAAGGTCATTTACTTAAACAACAGGTACAATCATTTAATAATAAATGTACATGCGGTGAGAAATTGACAAAATAAATACAAATAATATTAAAAACTATTTACAAAATAAGCTTTTTAGAGTTTTCTCCACATATATATGTATAATAGATATATTCTGTTCATATGGCAGGACAATACAATGGGTGCAAAACGGTAAAACATTAAGTCAAATTACAATGAGAACCACAGAAACGTGACCGTCGAACGTTAGGAGGACTTAACAAGATTAAGTCAATGCGTGTTATGTTGACATGAAAATGGCACGATTCAATAATTGGTATGGTTGAGACTTATGAAGTCATATTAGAATTTATCCTTCCTAAGCCCATTTGACACCAAGAAATACCTACAACCGCCTTTTAAATTAAGATCTGAGCTCCAAGAAATCGATTCATCTAAAGTAACATTACACAAGATCATCACATATGTTGGATTCCTGTCTTATTTTAGGTTTTACAGTTATTTTAGATCTAATTAGCTGATATACACCAAATATTCATTTAAAAAAAGGCCGATGAGCATATAACATGGTTTTGAAGCAACGCTGTTGTGTAGTATGATAATCTGTTCAGATGAATGGTTTGCGTTAGGTTGTGTCGATTCCAGCTTTGGAGTAACGGTGTTAAGTTGAGTTTGACCTTGAATCTCGTTGTCACGTTTTACTTGGGTCGAAATTCATCAGGTACGGGGAATCAAATGCGTTTTTTCTCTTTCAATTAATTTACTGAGATATTATGAATGCTTAGATGTTTCCAAATATCAAATCCTTGAAAACCAGCTGCTGATCAATTCAAGTGATCAGAACCTTACGACTAACGATGAACAATGAAATAAATAGGCGAAAAGTAACACATTTCTTCGATACCTTAGTTCACCACAATATGGTTCTTTATCACAAGCTACAAATTCTCGTGTTTTAAGAAAAAATGTGAATCTAAATGTCCGTAAATTTGAGAACCTACATTTGAAGAAAATGTCTAAAACGTCTCATTCTGTTATTGCTTCAGGAACATGAGAAAAATTGATTGTTTTGACGAATAAGATTTAGAACTGTTAGAATTTTGGTATGTTTCATTCAAAACAAAAGTTCATTCGATCACCACTGTTCTCAATTCAGTGTTAGATTACAGAAAACAACAATAATGCTTGATTATAAGTTGTACTCACTAATCTTTTTTTCATCTGCCGCTATCGGTTGTTTGGTTTTGGAATCATATAAATTTATGTGTTATATTTTTACCTTGCTTCAAAAATGTGATTATTACTTGGTCTTCGCTTTTGGAACTGCTCAACTCCTAGCCTGTAGTGTTCTACAAACTATTCATTGATGCAACTAAATAGTGATGTGTAAAGCTTTCCTTTTCTGTTTTTTTAAAGTGCGGTCATTCAAACCGATAAACTTTTGTAAGAGAGTTTCACACTACCTCATTTTCAATTGACGGATCAATAATTATTGTAAAGCTTAGAGTAAACATAATCTCGAAGCCAACCTTATTTTGCATCCACTTAGATCCTAAACTTCGTAATAATTTTGAAAGTAATTTTATCCCGTGAACGCATATTTTCTTCTTGAATCATATCTAGTATGCTACCACAAATAGTTTTATTGCATGTACAACTCTGGCATCTCTGGGCTGATGTGCTGTTTCTATTTCAGTCAATTCACGTATGTGCCTCGTTTTACGTTATATGTGACTGACTGATTGACTAACACTGCTGGACGCTATCCTTAGTTCTCTTGTTAAGTGTTTTCGTTTCTCTTACTCGTAAACCTTTAGACAACAGAAGACTATTGAATTCTGTGTTCACAAAAACAGCGATATATTATAATTTTTTAAACAGGCTTTTAAAGTGATCTGAATCCCTTTTATTCGTCATTTATATGCGATTGCTAGTAAAAATTAATTTAAAGTAGTTTTGTATACACCTAGGCATCCGAATGCTCGTTTAAGAACTGCAGTGACCTGTAAATGGATAATATGAATATACACACCATCGATAGTAACACTTCTTCACGGAATTCAGTGAATTTAGACAGAAGTCGTCCAACCTTATTTAAGTAAGTGAGGGTCAGACGATAGCTTTACCCATTTTGAGACATCAGTGTATTTCTATTTAATTTGTTTAATTTACTATTGGTCTAATCGTGTTAATATGTACTTGCTTCTATATATTAACTAACTCGTTAATTTTCATAACATACATTATTGGGGTTTCTTTCTCTTATCGTTCATCTTTTTTGGTTGCACTGACAATGTAAAGTTCTAATTGTGAGGTGGTGTTGCTATCCAATCCACTTATCACAACACTTTTTTTTAGTAATCTACTCAATTTTTAAATAACCAGTCAACTTGTTAAACGCCTTATAGCCTCAAAATAAAACGTCTATCTTTATAGCAAAATGAATATTATTCGGTTGTGCCATTTTGTTTGAATAATCCTCATGGGAAAATAGGGTGTAACTCAAACTATCATAAGATTACTCTACCAGACGATCTCAGTAATTCAGCTAATATTTCCAGTGGGTTATCTGTTTTATTTTATGCCCCAGGATACCCTTCGGTGTCTGACCACTTGATGGTCTAACTTGACAGGACTACAACTGCATTCTTCTCATTGCAAATATATCCAATCTAACTGTGAGTTGTTTTTGGTTAGGAGTTTCGTATTGCTTACGTACTTACTTACTCCTGTTACCCCTCGATGGAGCGTAAGCCGCCGATCAAGATCCCTCAACTAAATGTTTAATGGGCTCCTCTTTTCACCTGTTTTCAACTGCTATCGATTATCTTGATGTCTGTCTCTAATTCCCGGTCCCATTCGCTATTTTATATTCCTTTTTTCCTTCTCCCTTCAGAATTCCAAGTTAGAGCATGCTTTGTGATACGTTGTAATGGTTTCTGTGCACTGTAATCCATTTACCTTTAGAGTCTATTTTCGATTTTTATTCATCTGGAAGTTGGTTTGTCCTCTAACACAGTAGGTTGCTGCTGGTGGTTTCCGGCCAACAGATATTCAGTATCTTGTGTAGACAATCGTTTATAAATACGTGTACTTTTTTATAATGGTTGTAGTATTTCTCGAAGTTTCAGCTCCGTACGTGAGAACTCTCTTGACGTTTGTATTGAATATTCCGACTTTGATGTTGACTGACAGTTGTTTTGAGTTTGATATGTTGCCCTCAATTTTCCGACCCTTACGTTTACATCTGTATCAGATCCTTCCTATTTATCAATGATGCTGCGCGGATACATGAATTCTTCACCTCTTCTAATGCCTCTGCATTAAATGTGATTGAGTTAGTATTGACTGTGTTGTATTCGAGGATCTTGATTTTTTCACTTGTGTATGTGAGGCCTACTGCTGCAGTCTTTCGGCACCTGTTCCTTCTCACGAATCTTCCTGGATTGAACGTAGAGCGTCTTTTTAGTTACTACGATGGCCAATTTAAGTGCCTAAGCTGGTATGTTAGCGGGTTCTTCTGCTTTTATACTCTTGGCTTTTCTGATGGCCATGCTGATTTCCCAACTGTTGGTTGGTTGACATCTGTAAGAATGTTTATGTGTGCTGCTTTGATGTCGGAAAGGTTTAATGAGGCTAATCTATTCGAGCTCTTCAAAGTTCTCTACTCACATGTTTCACTGTCGTTGAATCTCAGTGATTGTCTTGCCTTCTTTGTCCTTGACTGTTTACTCCGGTCTACAATATTTCCCTGCTAGTTTTTTCATCATATCACATAGTTTTCTTATATTTCCTTCTCTTGAATCTTTTTTCGCTGTCACTGCTAGATCTTCTATGTATTTCCGCTTGTCGGCTCCAATGCTACTCCTAACTCTCTTGTTTGCTTCTATGTATTTCGCCTGTGCTTTCGCTTTCACCGTTTTCATTTGAATGCCGTTAAGTGTCATCCTTTTGTTCTTTTTAAAAAAAATCTTGTCCAGAGTTTTGGTAGAAATCTATTCCTTATGATTATGTTTCTTTCAGCCATGCACCTCCTGGGATGTTGAAGTTTTGGATAATTTTTCTGGTGAGCGTTTTTTAGCGAGTTAGTTTTCTACGGGATGGGGTCACTAACCCCTCCTCCTTTATCCGAGCTTGGGACCGGCAATGGTCCCAAAGGGGCTCCAGGCGGAGTTGATGTTCAAGTTAGTGCTTCGTTAAACACTTGTCAATTGTTCTCCATAGTAGTTTCATCTTTTTTAAGTACATTTTGTTAGGCTTGAGACTTGTTTCTGGGAGCTATTTTGAGTTCATTAGGTTTGTTAGAATCTCGGAGGAAGGCTGTACTAAAGTTTTGAAATTCTGTTTCTCCATGTGTCCAGTACCTCATTAGCTTCAGTTTAACCCTGGCCAAAACCAGGTAATGACCTGATACCGTGTCAGTCCCTCTCTTCGTTCTTATGTCTTCCATGGACTTTCGAATGTTTCTGTTGGTGAAAATATGATCGGTCTGGTTTTCCGTGATATGACCGGTGAGACCCATATAGGTTTATGCATGCCACCTACAACCATTTTTTAAGGTACATAGATTTAAAAGTCTTTCACTATTCTCATTTCTTTCTCCAAGTTAATGTTGTCTCATGATATCTTCATACCCAGTGTTGTTCGTTCCAACTTTGGCGATTGTGTCTGCCATCAGGATGGTCAAGTCGCTTCCTGAGCACTTCGCTATGATTGACTGCAGTCTGTCATAAAACCGATCTTTAGTGTTTGTAGCTGTCATTGATGGGTGCATAGCATTGGACAAGATTCATTGTAATCTTCTTTTTCTTCGTTTTGAAGGATTATTTGACAATTCTGGATTCATGCGATTCCTACCCTATAAGTGCTTTTCGTGCTTCTTCAAACATCATCAGTAAGTATTAAGCAACTTCTTCTTCATGGTCAGAACACAACAGCGTCTACACCGGATCCAACCTTTTCCATCTAGTTTGAACCAAATGATTTTTACTTATTCTGAGTACTGCCAGGTTTATCTCCTCGTTTGCGTAGCTATTTGGTTTGTTCTCCTGGTTTCCGTTAGCGTCTGGAAATTCCATAAATCGATATTTATTGTTGTTTCGGTTGTCATAAGAAATGTAGTTCACGAATATTAGAGTTAGGAAGACCAATTTATTGTTTATTGAAAATTTACAGAATGTCTTCATAGACCATGAAAATCAAACAGTAAATACTTCACTTGCGCATTATCCGTCAATTGTCTCCTACAAACTCCACCGTTCCTGTTTTTATTACAATTACTCCATGTCTACATTCTTGTTCTCATCATTTCGATCTTCTCAACCTTCTGCTTCCAGGAATTCCATTTCTGATTGGTGTTATGTATTACTTATGTCGACAGACACAAGTGGCATACACTACACGGACATCAGCCTCGTGTTTACTGAAGAATCTTGGCTTTCATCATAAGACGTCCTAATTCTTCTCAATGAAGATCCTTCAACTCACAGGGCGAAATTCAAATGGTTTGAATTATTTTCTCTGATTAGCGTTTTTTTTAACAAGGTTGTTTTCCATGGGATGAGGTTGCTAACCCTATGCCAAACCCTCCTCGTTTATCCGGTCGCAAGATCTGCAGTAACCCTAGAAAGAGTACAGGTGGACCTATGTATTCAAGAACAGTTAATATTAAGATTGAAAACTAAGTACCCCTGATTAAACTATAGAATAACGTCACTAAAGTATGCTATATGAACAGTCTCCATCACCAACAGTATTGTCTTCGCATAGACTGAAGGAAGAGTCATAAAATGTTGATCTTAGCAATGGTATGTTTTTTCTCGTCCGACTGATATACGTTGTCATTACTAAGGTTGGAAAATTACAGGAACCAACACTGGATTATGAAATGCCTACGTGCACAAGTAAGCTTTAAATGATGGATCTCCTCTTCAAGCTTTCCAAGAAAAAAACATTCTTCGATGAATGAATCGGAAAAGCTTTAATCAGGAACATACATTCATCCCAGTCACAAACAACTTTCTTTTTTTCTTATATTTATGCTAATATTTATAACAGCATTATGTCACATCCCAACAACCTGTTAAACTTCAAATGACTCCAAAAGCCCTAAAGTTACCGTAGCTAGAACACTTGGGTATTGTTTTTTATCTGGGTTATCTGTCGTATGAACTATTTACCGTCTATAACTTCTGATCTTTTTACTTTTTTGCTTAATGTTTTTTATGTAGGAAATTTTTGCAGAAGGCTGCAGAAACTGCTTCCTCCTCGATAGACTTCAATTTGTCATTGAGAAAAGCCGAGAAACGATATGCGTTTCATCCTGAATCATTCAGTAATTTGATACTTCAAGACAAACCCACGTAAGACTTTATCTATGTGATTTTTTCTATTGTCTTTTTCTTAAGAACAATCAATGCATCCTTTTTTCTACACTCTTTTTAAATCATGTAATCTTTTTGAAATAAAATATTTCTTTAGGTCAATTCTCTATCAGCTAGCAGTATACATTCGTACAATAATTATCTTTAAAGCATTTTCGTTTCAAATATTTATGTAAATTTCGTCCGTTCTTTCCCTTTTCATTTTATCATTTTTCTAAAGCTTAGATTTACTCATCAACTTTAATGAAAGAAATTTTGAGTATATACCAAATAATGATTATTTTATATATGATCTCATTTTTAAACAATTAGCTGTGTTATAAACGAAGACGGACAGTGGCTAGCAGTGGAATTCAGGACGCGCCCTTCGTCCTATTTGGGGCTTGTCAGCTGAATGTACCCGCATCTCAGAGTTAATGTTCACTCTGGGACTCAAACCCAATACCGTTCGTTTCAAACGCCATCGTGTTATCCACTAAGCTACTGTGTCCTGATAGAAACTTGCTTGTGCAATGGGGTGAAGTTTAATTCACTTGGCATTGTTTTACTTACATCAAATCTGAGATGCGGGTACATCCAGATAGGACGAAACTCGCGTCCTAGATTCCACTGCTAGCTACTCTCCATTGTTGCTTATAATGCTTGTAAAATTAAGGCAATATCAAGGCAATATGCACATAATGCACATATGCCAATAAGAAACTGATCAATTGTAGTCCTAAACATCAATGGGAAGATCCATGTAAAAAAATATCAAGTGAATTAAATAGCTGTGTTATTTACTCGATTAGTATCAAGTTAGATTTAGTGCCTAAGTTTCTAACTGGAAAGCAGTGTTTCTACTTTTTAAATATGGTCAGAGAGCAGAATATAGATAACTTTTCTCACTTAACATTAAAGCCTTATTTGTGTAATAGGAATAGATGCAATAAGTTCATTTCATAGATATGTGGTTCAAAGGTGTAACTGACATGAAATATCTAATAGTCAACAATCACAATTCAGATTATGGATTTCTTCATACTATAGAATTCTTTGTGCGAGTAGTTTTTTTTGTAAGTAAAGTTTTCAATTTTTAACTAGTTCATAATTTATTGCTCAGATCACTGACGTACTTAGAGAACAAAGTTGTTTTCGGTATCTGTATGATAATTATAGTGTTATTTGAAATCTCACTCCTGCAGTTTTTCCACTGTATTTAAACCAGCTAGGGATGTACTGTTCATACAGTGTTTGTTTGACTCAAACGAACATATGTTACCTAATAATAATGAAATAATTATTAGATTACAGCCTGCTGTTCATTCCCCGTAAATGTTGTAGGTGTATATCATTGTTTAGTCCATCTTTATTTTTTACAGTTTTTGAACTGGTTAAAATTTATTATGGGATCTAAAAAGATATTTGAATTCGTAAGACATTTAATTTGAAACTGTATGCCCTGTGTTTTTTAATAAACAGCCTCCATCGAAACAAATCAATGTTGGAAGTGAAAAAGCATACTATTGACAGGGATAAACATAATCCATCAAGGCGTAGAAGAAGTAAGTTATATCTGTATAATAACGAAAGCCTTCAGTTAGCATTAGTTAACAATCCAGTGTAAGAACCTCTAAAGGAGTATTCACAGAAAAAACAACATGAGTTGGTAAGAATAACATTGGAAATGAAGAATAAAATAGAGGTATGAGAGAAATAAGGTTAAATCATGGAGATCAAATAATTATTCAGAACAACTGCTGCATAAAATAACAAGTCATCATTTAAAAAAACGCAAATACCAAGTACGTCTCCAACGTGGTTACTTACTTTGGATCAATTCATCCAAATTGTTTTAAATGATAAATACAAGTCACAAAACAGATTAAGTTTGTATATTTTGTTCTCAGCTACATTTATTGTCTTGTAGTTAGAAATACAGCACAACTTTTAGAGGTGAAGTAAATAAAACTATAATCTAAAGTATAGACAGATGGTTTACTGTCGACTACCTAAACTATTTTAGTAGGTTGATAAGAACTTCAAATAAAAGATTTCATGATATCGACCTTCGTTAAATTCCTGAGAAATGATTTTTTTAGTTTGATAAAACTACCGAACATTTAGCTGTGCATCGCTTTTTATTAAGTGGATAATTCTTTATTTGTGTTAGAAAAGAAATCTACAAGGAACGAACTTGATGAGGAACTCACCTCAAACCAATCCATTTATTGATTGTTAAGTTATAGGTGTACGTTCTCGATATAGAGAGATTTCCAGTTTTGATATTTCGTTTAGTAAATTTATTGCATACAAAATACACTGTTTCTATTAAAAGAATATTGATAAACAGTTGTGATTAGTCTGAACAAATCATGAATTTCTTTCGAACTATTGAATTTTCTGTCTTGTTGATAAACTCCAAAGAATTCTCAATACTATACTTGACGATTTCTATATCGATTAATTGCAGGATTTATATTAGCCATTTCATTACAGTGTGATAAGCAGAATTATTCATCTCAAAAACTGGTTGTTTGAAAAAGGTATTTTTCTACATTTTAAGCAAATAATACAGTCTTGGTGTTGTTGTTTCTTCAGGTCTCAGTATTTCGAACAAGTTCTCTACAATCAAACTTTATTTAATCTTTCTAACAAATATGTTAGTTATTTTCCATCCTGTCTGTTACCCTGTTCTTTACTTCCATTACTTGCTCCCAAATGCCTTGATACGGCCGATGGTGGGGCGAGATAGCTCTTCCTCTCGAAATTCTCTCACATAACCACGCGTATACAGCCACTGCCAGGGAACTCCCACTGACTACCTTCTCGCGACATTATTGTTTTACTGCTTAATGAAAACATTTGAATATTAATTGAAGTGAAATGAAGATTTTATGCAACCAATAAGCTTTTCTAATATTAAAAAAAAGTTTTTCGAACTACATGAAGACGCTTTTTAAAACACGAAAGGAAAAGACATGCATCAAATTAGTGAAAGTTCTTAAGAAAAAAACTCTTGAAAAGTTTCCATGAAATTGAGGTCAGTATATTCATAATTTTTACTATGTTAATCTTGATATGACTGAGTTAAAAAATACTTTCTGTTGTTGTTGAGTTTTGTTACATTTAAGAAAATGGTTAGTAAAATGAATGTTGGAATTGATTTTGTAAACCCGTACTCACAAATTAGAGATTTAGTGTTTCCATCAAACGGTGATATCGAGCGCTTCAAGTCTACAGAATTTAATTACTGATTTAATTAATGCAATTGTAAGCATGAGTTGCAACACATTTTGACCAATAAACGAAGAAATGCTTTACGCAAACTTAAATCTAATTATAATTTGTTGATCTCAAGACTAAATAAACGTTGTGATGTAGTTCTCATGAACAGAAATCATTATTTAGATGTAAGATGAAAGTATTACCAAGTGATGAAAGTTATTATTTATTTGAACACATGAATATCGGTACAAAGAAACATGGAATACACATGCGCCACACAAGTCACTTGATTTATGTGTGGGTTGTGATACTACCCAGGTGCTTAAACCGAAGGAGGTGGTTTTCATAAGGGGGCCATAGTCGGAGTCTTCGACCCGAAGGTCTGGTCTACAAGGCAATGGGGCAACGTCAGGAGACGCGGTCCCATAGTAGCGGGTTGGTTCATACGCCATTTGTTACCTCAGAATCCTGGGGCCCATGTGCACGATTAGTTTGGAATCAGGGTTTTCCAACTCCCCCAGGTGGATCCTCCGTGTCCACCAAGCCAGTTGAAGACTAAATAAAGAAGTTTGATTGTAGAGAACTTGTTCGAAATACTGAGACCTGAAGAAACAACAACACCAAGACTGTATTATTTGCTTAAAATGTAGAAAAATACCTTTTTCAAACAACCAGTTGGTGGTTCAGATGCAGACGTAAAAGCGAGGATTGGCAAAGCAAGGGCCGCATTCTTACAATTGAAGAACATATGGAACTCAAAACAACTTTCAACCAATATCAAACTGAGAATCTTCAATACGAACATCAAGGCAGTTCTACTGTATGTACGGAGCTGAAACCTGGAGAACTACAACAACCATCATCAAGAAGGCACAAGTATTTATAAGTAGCTATCTACGCAAGATACTCAACATCCATTGGCCGGATTCCATTAGCAACAGGCTTCTGTGGGAGAGAACAAACCAGTTTCCAGCTGAAGAAGAAATTTGGAAAAGATGATGAAAATGGATAGGACATACATTATGCAAATCATCAAACCGCATCACGAGGCAAGCCCTAACTTGGAATCCTGAAGGGGAGCAGAAAAGAGGAAGGCCAAAGAGCATATTATGTTGGGAAATAGAACCAGATATGAAAAGGATGAATAACAACTGGAAGAAGCTGGAAAGGATTGCCCAGGACAGGGTTGGATGGAGAATGCTGGTGAGTGGCCTATGCTCCTTCACGAGGGGTAACAGGCGTAAGTAAGTAAGTAAGAAGTGAGATGTTGGATTCAGCATGTAGATTAAAAAAAACTATGGTTTCAAGTCACTAATGGAAATAAACACCAGAATTTTAAGTTAATGAATAAATCATGAGCTTAGTTTTGTAATCAAGATGTTATGTTTTAACTATAGCATTATTCCATATAATCATTTATAGTTGAACTGATTTACTTTGAAAAGCACAGTATTCCTAGTTAGAATTCGTGGTATAATTCATGTTAGAAATTATTTCATCTTGATTAAAATCAACTTCGTTGCTGTACATATATATTCATCTTCATATTTCTCTCAGCCTTAAGCTACATTATGTTATGTCATATCCATTTCCCAATTGTACTGTGGTAAACGATTAAATCAGGTAGAAAATATGAAAACTATGCATTAAATACACTATTTATTTCGATTGTCATCTATATGTTTCATGATTCGTTCAATTCTTTTATCCTGATTGCTCTATATTTTTCTTTCTGTTCTCTTCCACTCAATCTTCTGCTGCCAGGCATCCCACTTCTGATTAGTGTTATATACTACTTATATCTATCAACATAAATAGCATTCACCATAGTAATAGTTTATTATAACATTTTTATGAAATTACTGTTTACTTTCTCATTAATATATATATATATATACTGTAAACAGTATTCATTTTAGTTTACCATTATAATTGGCTTTATTCAATATTATATTTTTGGTACAATATATAATTCTGAGCACAAATTTTTTTAACAAGTTTCTGTTTTTTATTTCTTGATCGACCCTTAAGATAAATATTGAGTGGTTGTCAGTTAAATTTTAGCAGTTCAGGAATCGACATCCGATTAATGTATATTCTTTTCGATGCATATTGCCAGCAATCACGATGTCTGTGATTGGGCTCTTTTGTAACTCATACACTGCAAGGTCGTAAACCTTTAACAAACGTGCCTGAATAGATTATTTGACCAATAAGTATAATGATGTTTTGAAACAAACAAGAAACTTGTTGAAATATCCAAATGGCAGAAACAGGTAGCTCAAATATTCAAGCAGACTGCCAAGTATTTATAGTTTTGATATATTTGTAGTGTTTGCCTTCTTTCTGTTTTCCAATTTATTGTCTTTTTCATTTTGTAATTTTTGAGGTAATAACTTGAATTAGTACACTGGTGGTAGGTTCCTAGTCACTTTGATTGTTTAATGTAATGTATAAAGTGTCGTTTTTTCTACTGAGCGGTTTTAATCATCATCACCATCATCAGAATAAAAGCGTCTTATCAATTTTGTATTTGTAATTCAGCTGATTGAATAGTTAATTATAACTAATAGGAAGTTTTAAATTTAGTTCGGTTTTTTTTGGTGAGGCCGATCGATAACCACAAACTAGGTAATCCTCTCACAGAAAGTCAAACTTACACTACCATATCTACAAATCTTATTGATAAACCAGTTTTAATACTCTGCTAAACAGTATTCATTTAACTTTGTTAATAATCAGGGCATTAACGTATCACTATGACTACAATTCCACCTATTGATTTGATTAATTTTCCTACGTTTTTGATTTCATTTTATATTTCTGTCCAAAATTATCCATTTGTATTTTCCCAACTCTTTTCTGTTTTTTTCAAATAAAAACAAACATAGAATTGCAGAAATCTTATACTACTGAAACTGATATTATTTCACATGAAGAAGATAGACAGCAAAGTCTTCTTAAAGTATGGCGATATGATATATTAACTCATTGGAAATCAGGTTATCCATCTAAACATATAAGACAATACTTTTGGGAAGGTGTTCCTTCAGCTATTCGTCCCCAAGTAAGTAAAAAAAATTTTTGGAGATCTGTGGCGACACCAATCGGATATGAGATAATAGGTTTTGGGTTTTGGCGCGAAATTCATTCATTCTTTTGATTAAGTAGCGTTTTGGCATTTTAGATTATGTCAGTTCGTGATGAAAACTCTAAATCTAGTTCTTAGCTGTAACCATCAACTTTAAATCATAATTCTAATTCTTCACACTGCTTTATAACCTTCATTTAGTCCTAGTTAATAGGTGGACATTCTCAGGGTCACTTTAGCGTCGTTTAAAGGTCGTCTATAAATTATAGTCTCGCCAGAAACTGTTAATAACAATATATAAATATTTTGTTTGTTTTTTTAAATCAATCCATTTTACTATTTTTGTTAATTGTAATATTTTAACGATATTTAGTTTGACAGTAAACCTATAAATATAATTAATTGTGACTAAGCGAACTACTTACAGATCCGTGTATTATGCTACTAATCACGTCTGTTGTATAGATAGTGTAAAAAACAATATTAAACAATCTGAATTTCTGTAAATGAATCAAGCTTCAAATTTATGACCCTTGTCATTGACAGTTAAATATTTTAACTGATGACTTATAACTTCAGAATTCAGTTAAAACTGATGGTCAGATTAGTTAAATATTTAAAATTCAATGAATTAATCATTTAACAGTATTTAACTCTAGTACTTAACGATCTGTTTGGTGAGAGTAATTCAAACTTGAAGCAGCAGTTTTTTTTAAATAAGTTTTTTTGTAACTGTGTACGTCGTTTTTAAAAACTTAATTGATATCTGTTGGGGAGATCTGAAGAATTCCTCGAAAAGTCCATAGGGACACTAAAAACACTGTGAAACATTTTATTCAATCAGAGATGAATAGAAGTTTCTCAGAAACATCTATAAAGTGAAGAGTCACGTATTACATTTTTAATTAGATAATTACTTATCCTGTTACTGGATTTAGTACCTTTCCAGAAATTTCCGGAAGCCCAAAACCATCCGACATGCTATAAATATCTTAAATTTTCTGCACATAAGACGAACCTTGAAGTAAAGCGTTCTTTCCATATTTCACACCTCTTCTCTCGTGTTCACGTTGTTGTGTAGATTTAGCCTGTAGTTATTAGAAGAGCTTAGGATACCGATTCAAGAGTTCATTTAAAAGATTTATTACTTTAATCATGGAGAATCGATATGAAATAACGAACAACGTGAAAATCTAGACTTAAAATATTTAGCTTATAAATTAAATAACTACTCTATCATCATTAATTTGGTATTGATTGTTTGAATCTTCCCATTGATGTTTAGGACTGCAATTGATCAGTCTCTTATTGTGTGCTGATTGCCTCGATATTACCTTAGGTCACGAACATTATATGTGCTTCGTTGAATTTTGACGTACTGTTTTGTGTAAATTTTACAACCTCATTAACTATTATACACATAGTAACAAAGCGACTGAGATAAGTTTTAAAAATATGCTTCAATATTTCCAATTATAAATAATCTATTCATTTATGCATTCAAAATCAAACAGCTATTCAGCCTAATATATTCTATATACTTTATCCTTTAAAAAATCGTTTTTCTAATTCCATATATATATATTGAGGTTTGAAATTAAAATCGTTGAACACTAGCTAGATGTTAAACATCCACGCATGAGGCCGAAAGACCTGGGCTCGAGTTCCGTGTGCGGGATCGTGGCAGCGCACTGCTGAGGAGTCTCGTACTTGGACGCAACTCCTTTCTAGTACTTCTGTATTTTCACTGGTAGTCTAACTTAGATCGGTCGATGATTTCATTGAAAATAAACACTGTTGGATTCTCCTTACTTCTATCGTAAAGTATACTTTGATTTCATGTTTTAATTAATTCAAAGGTCAATTTTATCGATACTGAATTCATTATTCACTTATTTTTAAAATATCTGAACTTTGCTATCGAATGATAATAAGTAACTGTTCATAACTAATTTAACTTAAAATTAGTACGTGTAAGTAGGTCTATTTAGATTTGGTTATTTTTATTATATCCACATAATAACTAATTTACATTTGAGTTATTTAATTGCTCAGCAATAAGTTACGTCAATTATTATTATTATTATGTTTATTATCGGCCAAGTATGTAGGTATTTTCGATATGATTCATAGAGTGCTGATTGGTTGGTATTCCGCTTTATGACTTTACTTATATACTACGATGCCATTTGATAGTTAGTAGTATCAGACGCAAATTTATCGACTCTAATTTATGTTATCATCATGTGTAATACTCTTAAACTAAGATAACCGATTGGTTCCGTTAGATAGTTTGAGTAATAGAGGCCAAACTTGTACTCATAATAGTTATATGATTGATAATGTCATAAGAATAAAGTTAATACATGCTGGGTTTAGGTCAGATTCTCAGCTGTGAACATTAACACTATTATGCAGGTATATTCAACTGATAAGTTTCGGATAAGACCAAACGGATACATTGGATTTTAATGCTTACCACAGTTTGATATATACCGAAATGAACGTGATTACCTCTTGCAAACCTATTTTACTGTAAATTTGTTGCGAATGGTAACTTTGAATAGGATTGTACGCCAGAGAAAATTTAATGTTCAATACGCATACTTTTAGTTATGATTAGGTTTAACTCCATTTTACTGATGTCTGTGTTTGGCATTTGGCTATCGCTACTTTTCACTTGTATTCTGTTTCATTAATGATACTTGTATTTTCATGTTTTGTTGGTTAAATTACCGGTTAGTGCCATATGAGGAAGTAGTTAACCGTGTAACGTATCAACAAGAATTGTGTATTAGATGAGGAAGTATCATGAACTACGTGAAAAACTGGCTGTTTATAGCCGAGTTTTTTATGTCACGGTGACTAAATTCATTATACTGTATTGTCTCAATTGTTTGTATATAGTAACATTATATATATTTCAGAATGATTTTGGTTCCACTAATATGCTATAATATGTTTTCTTTTTGTTTCGAAAGGTTTGGTCTTTACTACTTGGTAATAAATTAGGAATAACTCGAGAATTATTCAATACTTGTCTTAGTCAAAGTAAACACCATATTAAAACGAATATCATTGAACATTCTGGTATCATTCAATATGAGACAACAAATTCTAATCATAATGAACATTATTCATTATTTAACTTAAATAACACTGAAAATTCTACATTTAATTGTTCTATGTGTAATTTTATATTCAGTAAATTGAATACGATACCAATTAAACGAGAATTTACACATGTCCCTTGTGTTACTAGTAATTTAACAAATTTACATCAACATTATAGGAAAAATTCTTCCGAAGGAGAGGAAGTAGTAGAAGCATTTGTTTCAACAAACTCTTTCAAAATAGATCCATCAGATTTTGAACAATCAAATCGAACAGGTAGTCTAGTTTTTTTTTTATAATTGATGATGAAATGTAATTCAATACGAGGTTTGACAATTAAACTTTATTATATATTACCGGATAGTAATAGTGTTGATTGAAATATACCGTATACGTATTAGCAATGAACTATGATTAAAACAATCTTGTAGAATATGATAAACTATAATTGAGTTGTTGTTTAGAAATTACTAGTTGGTTAGATATTTTTCTGTTTTTCTCTATAGATGCATAAGCATTAATTTATTCAGATAGTTATGTAGTGAACTAGAACACAGGTGGGGACAACCAATCTATTATTTAATACGAAATCACACAATATCTTCGTAAAATATGAGAATCATACATTAAATACTTCATTTGCAAATCTTCCGTCAACTGTCTTTCCCATTCTATATGATTCTTCCAATTCACAATTCCTTTCTATTTCCTTTTTTGTTTTGTTCAACTTGACCTTCTTATCCTTCTTCTGTCATGCATTTCACTTCTGATTGGTCTTATTACTTATGTCCGTCTAAATAAGCAGCATACACTACAACTATACCATATCTATTGAGAGTTTTTGACGTGTAATATCTTCCACGTAACTAGTTAGTTCATCTTCGCTTGAATATTGATTTTGATTCACAGAGAACTGACCATTGAACATGCGTATAACACAGTCTCCAGTGATGATAAAAAAGTTATGGATATAGTTTGTAATCATTATTGTTGCGTATAGTAATATCGTTGTGTTTTGTTTACCAAATATGACAATATTACCTCGAGCATACAGATTGAAATAGTTAATTCTGTCACGAAGTTGTATTTTAGATTATAACACACAAGAAAGATTGACTGTAAATTTGTTGAGTAATGTCAAGAATTACATCATAACAGTAGTTAATCACTTTTTCGATGTATATACGAAAAATAATGTAAGAATATACGCCAATTTACATTCATGATCAAGTGGATAGCGATGTTAAATGTGTAAACGGCAGATATATAACTTTGGATTGTTTGGAGTGTAATAAGAAAGATTAGTTCAGCGAAGAGTTTTCTTTTCGGCGAATTCATTTTCAAAGCTGTACAATCGCAAATATATATACTTATTTTAATAGGATGATAATAATACTGATAATAAACTTCTGTCAGGCATGTTGATAGTGAGGTTAAATAAACAAAGTTATTAAAAAATTCTTTTAAAAACAAGGAAAGCTTAATAATCGTTTGATTGTTACTTGCTTAAGTATTCATCAAAAAATAGATAGGAAAATTATCATTGGGAAAGGATGGCTCAGTACGATAAGATAAAATGTTGGACTTGAGATTCAATGTAATTAGAATGATCGTGGAAACAAAATAAACCAGTTGGGGGTAGAGGATTTAAGGGGAAGATGGGAGGTGAAGCATTTAACTCTAAAGGAAGAAGAGTATGAGAAAGAGAGAAAAAGTTATAAGACATTAAGACCATGGTAGAAGAAAAGGTTGTACCAGTCTCTTATGTACACACAATTCTGGTTTTTCCAGATGTATGGTTGTTTCGGCAATGCAAAGAAGATGCAGTCTAGTTGTCTTTAAAAGACTTCTACTTACCTTGTAGACGACTTTGGAAGCGGAGTCTATCTTGATTGAGTGACCCGTCTTCACAAGGTGTCCGATTAAGTTCAATAATCGTCTAATAATCCGTTTACTAAAAAAATTCCAAAGACCCCTCCACAGTAAAGGAACTTAATGAGTTTCTGCGTTATTCTGTCAAACTTGCTGAAGTGTAATAGTTGAAAATTAATTAGGCAGTACGTTTTTTTCACATGAACTATAATAATAAACGATATCAGTTTGGAACCATTAATTTTTAGTAGGTGGATATCCTATTGATATATGAACAGTGTATCCAAGGTCATTTTCAGTACTATTACAGAATAACTTTATTCATCCATATCTTCATGAGTTCTATGTAGAGATTATTGTTATTATTATTGTAGTTTGTCATAAAATGTTTAAATTATCTATGATATCGTGTTGACAAGTAAATTCAACAAGTTGTTTCATTGTGAAATTCTATCTTAGATTAGTTTTTAATATAATTAATTCATATATTGACCTTATTTTCTTCTTATCACATTTAATTACATATCATCGTAGAATAGCAATTTTCTTCATTTTGAAATTAATGTCTACTTTTAAACTATTTCATTAAATGTAATGGATTCTATTACATTCTACTCTCTTTTTCTATGTGTATGCAAATGAAGTTGAAACGAATATAGTCAGATATAGTGATAATACTGTTCATCTATAACGTAGTGAATAGTTTTCAATATTTTTTTTTACCATAATCATGTTGGAACTTTCATGTAATCTCTTGTCACTGGTCAGAATATCCATCTAAAATAAATTATTCAGTTTATAAAAACAGACGAATAATGTAGGGTATTTATAGAATTTTTCTTGGCCTATCCTTGAGTATCTATGTCATAACTCCTAATTCAATGGTACTCGAGTGGTTTTCAATTTCAAAAAAGGGTAATAGTTACTAAGAGAATCCATTTTTTTATTAATTGGGAAACAGCTTTCGTTTTTAAAAATTTTTTTTAAATTAGGATTTCTCTATAGCTTTTGTGTGTGTTATATTATTATTATTATTTTAGTTTGTTAAATAAACAATTCTATTTTTCTCACTATTCATTTATAGATCATACTATGAATTTGCATGCAATTAAAGTAGACATGTATCAAATATATCCAACATTGAATTTATTCTCACCTGGTTATCCATATCATGAGAGATTACATGATTTATTATCAGCTTTTATTACTTATCAGCCTGAAATTGGTTATATACCAGGGATGTCATGGATAGCTGGTATGGCTTTGATAGTTTTTGATAATACATATGATGCATTTGTAACGTTTGCAAATATTTTAAATAAGTCATATCATCAAGCATTTTATAGTATGGATGAAGAGAAAGTAAGTTGAACTATTTTATTTCATTCATAATTTTGCACACCCATTTTTCATTATCTTTGGAAACTAACTACCTTCATCCAATACGGTTGAACTCCATTGATCATGGCTTCTCATTAGAACTCCGAGAATTACCTCTCGAAGCTAGTCACTAGTGAGGACATGATAAATATCAGTATAGAGTTGTGAAGATTGTTGATTTTTCATAGAGATCATGAACTAATCGATGTTAGACTAACATTGCAAACTTGGAAGCATTGCGTCATCACGGTTTTGTACATGTCGCCCAAAACCAGGCTCTTATGGTCTCGTGCACTACTATGGAGTCCCATACTGAGACGAAACGGTCTTACAGTGTTTTTATGTTAACAATAAGGCTGACAATAGATCAATCACTTAGTAGTTACCAATATCACGTTGTGTAATTCTTGGTGCTAATTGAAACGAATCAACTTTATAATAGACCTTGGTTGCAGGTGGGCAGTTGTAAGTTTTTTCATCACATGTTAAGGAAATTTTAAACTTGTGACCGAGTTCTTTTTCTAATTTAGTAATTACTATAAGAAAGTTTGGCATTTTGGATTTGTCTTTGCGAATTAGTTATATATGCTAACTACCCAGTAAACGCAAGTGCTTTTAATGATGTCTGGAAGATAATTATTAATAAATACCAATAGAGCTATCACTGTAGTTAATGATCTTGTCCTCGTATATGAGAGGCAATTCAATTGGAAAGCATATATCATTTATATTGTACGATGTGTTGCAGCTAATCATGACTGGAAAACGTGCTTTTGTATACATGTTGAGTGGTAACAAGTTGAAATAGTATCATTAAGAAACTTATTGAGAAATTATATATTTGTGTTGGAGTTATTTACTGTGATCAGTGTTTCGTTTAGATTTGGATTAGTTTGGTTTGGTTTCTTGGTAAATAAACTTTATAAAACTTTTCAATCGGGCAGTCGTGAACAATTTTAAGAATGACATATATATACATCGGTTTAAGTTGTCACATTTCATCAACACCGAGAGATAGATTTGTCAGGGGAAATCCCAGAGTACTAGAGGTAGTGTTGGTGATAATATAGAAGATTAGGGATACAATATATGATTCAATAGAAATATATTTTAATAGTTAATATCATGAATCAATTGGAGCTAGACCACCATGGAAAATCTGGAAGCACTGGACAGCCGTTTCGTCCCAGAATGGGACTCTTCAGTAGTGCGCATCTACGAAAAATATCGGTAGACTGAAACAGATTTCAGGATAATTAGAAAATCTAGGATGTAGATGAATACAAAGAGTGGATATACAGTTGCTATTGCGAACTATTTTTAGTCAGATCGCCCAAGTCTCTAACCATTAGTTATGTTATTCACATATACTTCAACTCGGTAGCCACCTAAAACATCAACAACACAGTACATTAGACTTAATGAACTGATTCCATGTCTTGACTTGGCCGCCCTTAGCTCTCTTTCAAACTATTCATGATCACGCATCAAGATAAATCTCATTAAACGTTGTACAATGTTCAGTGAGAAGATTTAATGAAATTTACTGTTTATAAGCACTTCTAAACAAAATCTATACCAATATTCACTTTCTTCTATTCATTTGTTCTTTTTGTTAACAAAACCAATTAAACTAATTATTCTCTTATATAATTTCTTTTTTACAGTTTCTACTATATTTTTAATGATTTTGATAAGTTGTTCTCTAGGTGTCTACCTCGACTTTATAAACATTTTAAAGAAGTTGGTTTCGAAACAACTATGTTTCTGTTCGATTGGTTCTTTACATTATTCAGGTAAATAAATTATACAACAATGACAAATATTATAGGCTGAAATGAATTCAATTTCATTTTATATATTCTTTCAAATATATTCACTAATTTTCATTCTCTTAAAAGTGTCTTACATTCAATTAAGAAGCTTCAGAAAATTTAAAATTTTCTACTTATCGGGTTATTACAAATATACCATACTTATTATACACTAATTTTTACACTATTTTTTAATAGCTGAATTCATGAGTCAATTGAAGCTAGACCACCATGGAAAACCTGGAAACACTGGTCGGTCGTTTCATTCTGGTATGGGATTCCTCAGCTGTGAGCATCCAAGATGACGCCCCGCGAAATTCGAACCCAGGACCTATCGGTCTCGCGCGCGAAAGCTTAACCACTAGACTACTGAGCTGGCATCCAATGGTGTTAATGTCCAACTTCAGCCAATCCACGAAATTGCATCACTGTTGGATGACGAGTCAGTAGTCTAGAGGTTAAGCGTTCGCGAGCAAGACCGATAGGTCCTGGTTTTGAATCTCGCGGGGCGACGATATGAACAAATTCATTTACCTAGATGACTAGATTGATCCGGGATGGAATAATTTATTGAAGAGTATTGAATATTGATCAATTCTTGATTTCAGTTAGAACCTAATAATCTCTACAACCCTACACTGATAATATTGAAATAATAAGACTGGTTATAATAACCACAAATTACAAATGAAATCTTGACTAAATAAATAATGGTATTATAATTGTTAACTAAACGTTGGTAACAAAGTTGAAGAATGCATGTAAACGTCATAGATTAAACTGACAATAAAATTTCAAATTTTTCGAGAAAAATGAAGAAAGAAGGGAGGAAGGTGTTGATAGCAATGGATCAGTCGTTATGACAAACATTTCCAGCTGAACTGAAAATTTTTGTATGCATAGATTAAGTTTGAGAAAACGAGTACAGCTGGTGCTTCTGTTTAGTTTAAACGTTTATCATTATTCTGTCTTTTCACCACTCTAAAGGCAGTACCAAGTCCTACTGAAGAACCTTTGTCCACCATATGTCTTCTTTTTGCAAGGCTGAATAATTTGGAGTCATCCGTTTTTAAATGCTTTGCTCTGTTTTTTAAAGTTATTCTCTATGGAATCCTTTTTGTTTTTTCAACGTTCGTGCTACTGCAGGTATATGTAAATAGATAAATATAGCTTGAGGTAACCAAGAAGGTTTTATTGTTATAGTTAAATTATTTTAATACGTTTTTGTTTCATATGTAATGACTAAGTTGGCAACAGTATATGTCAGTTTAAATGCACTGCACTGAACTAAGATCATCGCCTTTCAATGAAAGTTTGAGAAACATATTCTTTTTGAGAGAAGTGGCTTGTTGTCCAACCTTATTTGCTGAATTGAATTGCTTATTTATAAACTTTATGGGATGAACATGGTCGAATAATTTCCAGTTAACTGTTGAATAAATCTTCTGAGCATGACATTTAAACGTAGAGCACATTAAATGATTATTATCTCATCTTTGAAGCGTGACTAACGTAAGGTAAGACATTGAGTGAGATGCCTCAGTGTCAGTATCAGATATATTCACTTCATATCTTCTAATTCTTGAACTTTAATATTATTTCGTAAGTTTCGTTCCAGAGTTTACTTTTTCTCTTCAAATCACATTCCTCATATCTAATCCTTTTTATTGTCAGCGATGCTATTACTTCTACTATTTTTGTATTCTTATTGATAATTTCATCTTGTTGTGCGATAATTTGAGTTGATACACATTTATGGTGATGAAGAGTATTTTTAGCACAGAATAAGAGTTTTGAAGGTGTTTTTTCTCTCAGTTGGATAGTTTACTCGTAAAGTTTTTATTGTCTTCCTCGATAATACTATCAATACACACACTGCAACACGGAGTGACTAGAAATTTTCCATAATTGATTAGCCTCGTGTTGTGTTGACGTCGGTAAATCCTTCTGGTTGTTTTCTATAGACTTGTAGTCGTTCTATATCTAACCTTATCTCTAACCTTGAAGTCACTTATCCTTGTTCTTACTGGTTGACAGAGTAATTCACTTGCGATATATCTATTGATTGATGCGTTACCAGAACTCTATGCTTCTAGAAGCACAGCATCAAAACAAACACAGAAAAACTGCCACAAATCTACGAACGACAACCAACCAAATTCATCTAGGTCAATTTTAGAAAATTTATAATCATTCATTTCTTATTGAAGTATGTGTTAACGCTGTTGTCTAAGAAGACTATGAAAACTTCACGAATAAACCATTCAACACAGGGAAAAGAAAGAACATTCAAAATAAAAATATTGTGCTAGTTTCTTACGTTGATTATAACTAGACAATTGGAAGTCGCTATTTTAAAATCAATATGTTTTCAGCAATACACATTATAGATAAAAAAAATGTATAAAGAACTATGTATATACATACTTTTCATTTTTTTTTAAAAAAGGAACAATGTCTGCTATTTGTAATCAATTAATTCATTTACTCTTCTTATTTACATTTGTTAATATGCTTACAAAATTTGTATATCAAATTACATAGATCTTGAAAATCTTACTAATTATTCCTTCAACAACATCATTATTAGATATTGTAAATTCTAATCATTCCTGAGTCCGCTTGAAGTGACCTTATTCTTCCACATTACAAATATCACATTTTCCACACTCACTAACATACACATAAGTAAGTTTCATACTGAATCATCTTGACCTAAATGAAATGATATAAACATGATCAGATCTATTTTAATGTTGATTATATTTATATTATTCCTCTTTACTCCGTTTGTACTATTTAAATTTGTATGGATTTAATTCGTCTATTTATTTATTCTCTGAAAGGATAAGATAGAATACATTCCCGTGAAATTGTAGTACATGCGTTATTCAATGTTCATTGTGTGTGAAGTTTCATGCATTTCCGGGCAGTTTTCCAGTATTATACAGATAGTTTTAGAGAACTGAAATAAAGTCTCCAGTAAGAATCATACACTTATACTCAAAACTTACTTTTAATAAATGCTTGAAAACGCTAGACACTAAGTTTATATTGAGCATTTTTGAAAAATAATGTTCGATCTCATTCGCTTACACAAAACTTCATCTATTCGACTTTCTATCAACTGGACTTTACAAATATATATTTATATTATTGAAACCCATGTTTTCTTTCTTACTTGTGCTCATTGAATTAGCCTTTTTTGTGTAATTATTGTATCACTGTACTGCTTCTATCATCGTTATTTCTTTCTATTCTCATTCATCTATTTATATTTATTTATTCTTTTATGTTATTATATTCACCTTCCTTTATCTATCTCTTCACAATTTGACTGTCTTATTGTGTGGTGCATATTTGTTTTGGTGCCTTTATTTACTAACGTTTACGTATTCAAATGAGTAAATAAACAAATTGTATTACGTAATAAGTAATTTAAGTAATCTATTAGTTGTTTTTCATCGCACGATACATTTTCTACAACAGCATAAAAGAAATCATGTTTTTTAACCACAAATAATGTGGTTTTTTTCCCTTCCAAATATACTCCTACAGCATATGTATGCGTAGGTAAGCAAATGTTTAGAGTAGACCTCATATGAAAAAGTGTTCTAAACATGTAATGCGTTTTACCGAGTATTCATAATCCAAATATACCATTGTCAATCGATAAGAAGTCTTGGATAAATCCAGTGTAGAGTTGGTCTAGAGGGAGGACATTCGCTTGAGACTGAGAGTTCTGGGTTAGAGTCCTGCGTACATGATCGTGGATTCACACTGCTGAGGAGCCCATACTAGGAAGAAACGTCTGTACAGTGCTTCCATGTTTTTAATAGTGGTCTAACATTGATCGGTTCATGATCTCAATGAAATTATAATAATTGTTTATTATTGAGAATTTGATTTCTTTTTTTTTCTAATTTATTCTTTATCAAATTATTCATCAAGTCGAATACTTCCATTAGAAACATGTATACGAATATGGGATTTATATTTTCTATATGAAGAATCTGCTTTGTTTTATGCAGCTTTGGCAATATTGAAATTATGTGAAAAAGATTTACTGTCTAATAATTTCGATGACTTATCATCATATTTATCTAGTGCAACATTATTACAATCACTGACACCAGACCTATTAGTAAGTAGTAGTAATAGTAATAGCATTTATGAACTTTTAATTATTGTATAATTTACTTAAATAATACGATAATAGTTAGTTTTTATTTATTTATTTTCAAAAGAAAGTTTGATATTTCTTATCCATCATGTATTGTTTATGATTTATTGGCTAAACTTCAATTTACTTTATTATAGATATTAATTAATCGAAATTGACCGTTAACTATAGTTTCGAGTCCCGTGAGCAGGATCATGCGTGCGCACTGCTGAAGAGCCTCATACTAGGATAAAACAGCCGTCCGGTGCTATCAGGTTTGCCATGGTGGTCTAGTTTTGATTGACTCATGAATTCAGTTATTAAGTTATTATACTCTCCACAAAACCCCTTTCTGATAACATTGAGTAAATTTTTATAATTTGGAAAATCAACTATCATTATGTAAAATACTCACTGAAAAGAAGAAAATGCATGTAAGCGTTAAAATAAGGATAAAGGAAAATTTGTATAAATACTATTGAAATACAAAGTGTATTTGCATATTTATGCATCAGTTAAAAATTGCTAAGATATTTCAATCACTTTGATACATTTAGTCCATTTGATAAATTTGAATAGTACAATGATTTTCGTCCTCTTATTACACTATCCAAACTTGAATGACTGTTTAGAAAAACATATGATAATAGCTAAACTGAGAAATTGAATCAGTCGGAAGTGTTCTTTTAAAATGTTTAGTAATTTGTATAGTTTTGCGATGAAATGACATAGTTTTGGAATCTTCCAACTTTTGTCCACTAAATTTTAGGTTCAAACCCTGCTCCGTCGAATTCTGTTTAAAGAATTGAATGGTAAAGTACCCCTAATACATTGAGTGTAGTTCATACTCAGTGTACCTGGTGACTGAGTTAGAGTGATTTTATGCAGTAACTCAGATTGTGATTATGTATGATGTAGATTAAAATTTATTGCTTTTGTATTTCCAAATGAATCTCTCTAAACTGTCCGTAATGATCCAACCTAGTAACCAGATATGAAGTCAGTTATTTGGATTATATTTACTGATTTTAAAGATAATGATATAAGTCAACTGGTTAACGTGAAAAAGACCTGGTGAGGGGTTCAAACCTGTTATCCTATAGCTTAAAGTTGAATTCATTAACTAGTAAAACCTTGCTCTACGATTTGCTCATTTTGCAACTGATTGATCACAATATAACTTTACATTACTGTATTTGTTTATATCCCCTTTACTTCTCGTTAATAATGCTTTGACCTTTTTAGTGCATGAACATCCAGTTTATTATGCGTTCTTCAGTAATTTGAGTCTCTTTTCTTATTTACTGTAAATGTTAGTTAGGAATTTTAGGTGAATAATATATCATGAAGTAGCGTCGTTTGCTGTTCGGGGATTCAACCATAATTTGTCTTATTTTAGATAGCCAATTTCTATCACTGTCGTGTAAATCATTTATATAACTCAAAGACGAGTTGTGTAAATCTGTCCTTGGTAGTTGAGAAATATATTCATTACGAAGACTGACCTGTTGTAAGTTGCAACAAATAAAGGTAGATTTACTCAGTGTCCGCTCTTGTTATATGACTTCCAGACTGGTTTTTTTTACTGAGTCAATGACTTAGAATAATGTATCAGATAAATGCTTTTTACTGTTCTCACAAATCTCTTTATGTCTAATCCGATGACAAATAATATACTTAAGTAATCATATAAACACGATGCAAACTTGCCATATACGAACACTTTATGTGATTTATTATGTATTTTCCTCAGAATGCCTGCGTTTGCTATTACGAGTTTCTTCTCGTACCTCGTTTTTTCTCACTCAATTTATTCATTCAAATTTTACTAGTATCTTATCGCATGTGTCTTTTAAAACATTGTTGACATTTGATAGGACCATTGAGTTAGTAATATTGAAGTCAAACTCTGAATACTAGGGAAGGATAGTCAATCGGTTGATTAGGTGGTGAACCTTCATCGACTGAGAGATTTACTACATTCATTTAGCTACCGCCTGCCTCTACGAGCTTGTGTAATAGTAAGTGGTAGAAAAGCTAAGGACCGTCAAACCAAGCCGCGAAATCATTCCATAAAGCTAATGACTGTTAGTCTATCTATGTTAGTAAATCCATACCCACTCTCCGAGCCTTTGACCTAGAGGTTTAATCCATAAGTTAGTGAAACAACGTTAAGAGATGCAGTCTCATGGTAACCAAGAACCAACAATGGGTCCATACGCCGTTTATTGCCTCAGAATCCTGGGGCCCATTTACACCATTGTCTTTGAATCAGGGTTTCCCAACTCCCCTTGATAGATCCTCCGTGTCGACCGACCCGGTTACAGCGCAGAATATTCCCTTTAGTTCCTCTCAATTTCGTAAACATCGGTAATGCCGCTAGAAGGCAGTGAGGACTTCCCCGGCAGTGGCTGTGTACGGGTGGCTATGTGAGAGCATTTCGAAAGGGAGAGCGGACCCTCCCCACCCCCAGTCGTATTATCAAAAGACGAAATAAAAAATCACTAGGAAGAAGTCGTTTTATATTTAAAATATACAACATTCATGTATACAAAATATTTCACATAGTATAAACATGATTAGATATCATTCAATTCATAAATGATAGCAAGTTGTGTGTTTTGTAGGTCATCATTATCAGCTTATGACCAATACATCTTTTTCAGACTTAATCCTTATTGCCTTATATATCAGCCATCCTTTTATGTGTTTGATTTGTATGGAGTTTGGTCAATATCGAAGATATGTAGGTTAATCATTTGGTAAACTGTGTGCAGAAAGATTATTACGAAATTTGGTATTTACACCAGCACTTATCGATTTCATTGTAGCATGGAAATTTATTTTTTGATATTTGAATAAAGCCAGAACAACCACTGACACAGAGTATTGATAACTTTTTTCACTACGGAGGTTCTCATCAACTTGTTTACGATCATATATTGAAATTTGACATAGTATTGGATGATAAACATCGATGACTGGGAAATTTGAAATAATTATCAGTGCTATATATATTACTTACTTACGCCTGTTACTCCCAATTGAGCATAGGCCGCCGACCAACATTCTCCAACCCACTCTGTCCTGGGCCTTCTTTTCTAGTTCCATCCAATTCTTGTTCATTTTTCTCATGTCTATTTCCATTTCTCGGCGTAATGTGTTCTTTGGTCTTCCTCTTTTCCTTTGGCCTTCAGGATTCCATGTGAGGGCTTGTCTTGTGACGCAGGTGGGTGCTTTCCTCAATGTGTGTCCTATCCACTTCCAGCACTTCTTCCTGATTTCTTCCTCCGCTGGGATCTGGTTTGTTCTCTCCCACAGTACGTTGTTGCTAATAGTGTCCGACCAACGGATCTGAAGTATTTTGCGTAGACAACTGTTAATAAACACCTGTATTTTCTGGATGATGGCTTTCGTAGTTCTCCAGGTTTCCGCTCCATACAGTAGAACTGTTGTGACATTTGTATTGAAAATCCTGACCTTGGTGTTGGTTGACAGTTGCTTTGAGTTCCAGATGTTCCTCAGTTGTAAATATGCTGCTCTTGCTTTGCCGATCCGCGCCTTCACATCTGCATCAGATCCACCCTGTTCATCAATGATGCTGCCCAAATATATAAAGGTTTTTACATCTTCCAAATCTTCTCCGTCAATTGTGATTGGATTGGTGCATGCTGTGTTGTATCGGAGAATCTTGCTTTTCCCTTTGTGTATATTGAGACCTACTGCTGCTGAGGCTGCTGCCACACTGTTCGTCTTCTCCTGCGTTTGTTGTTGCGTTTGGGATAGAAGGGCCAGATCATCTGCGAAGTCTAGATCGTCCAACTGCATCCTAGATGTCCATTGTATCCCGTGCTTCCCTTCAGACGTTGACGTCTTCATGATCCAGTCGATCACCAGGAGAAAGAGAAAGGGTGAGAGTAAGCAACCTTGCCTAACGCCGGTCTTCACTTTGAACGACTTTGTCAACTGTCCTCCATGCACGATTTTGCAGTGTAATCCATCATATGAACTCTGTATGATATTGACTATCTTCTGAGGCACGCCGTAGTGTCGAAGAAGTTTCCATAGTGTTGTTCTGTCCACGCTATCAAATGCCTTTTCGTAGTCAATGAAGTTGATGTAGAGTGATGAATTCCATTCAATTGATTGTTCCACAATGATCCGTAGAGTTGCGATTTGGTCTGTACACGATCTATCCTTACGGAATCCTGCCTGTTGGTCACGAAGTTGGGCGTCTACGCAGTCCTTCATCCTGTTTAACAATACCCTGTTGAAGACTTTTCCCGGTATTGAGAGAAGAGTGATGCCCCTGTAGTTATCACACTTGCTGAGATCGCCTTTCTTCGGTATTTTGATCAGAAGTCCTTCTTTCCAGTCTCTTGGTACTTGTTCCTCATCCCAAATCTTATTGAAGAGAATGTGGAGTATCCTTGCAGTTGCCGCTACGTCTGCTTTTAGTGCCTCTGCTGGGATGTTGTCCGGTCCTGCTGCTTTGCCACTCTTGATTTGTCTGATGGCCATGCTGATTTCTTCAATTGTTGGTGGGCCAACATTGATTGGGAGGTCCGTGGGTGCTGCTTCGATGTTGGGTGGGTTCAGTGGAGCTGGTCGATTCAAGAGTTCTTTGAAGTGTTCTACCCACCTGTTTTGTTGCTCTTCAATGTTGGTGATTACCTCGCCTTCCTTGCTTTTCACTGGTCGTTCTGGTTTGCGGCGATTTCCAGAGAGTTTCTTTGTCGTGTCATACAGTTGTCTCATGTTTCCTTCTCTTGCAGCCTTTTCCGCCGTCGTTGCTAAATCTTCCACATATTTACGTTTGTCGGTTCTGATGCTCCTCTTCACTTGTTTGTTTACTTCTGTGTATTCAGCTTGTGCCTTGGCTTTTTCTGCTCTTGTTCGGCTGGTATTGATTGCTGCCTTCTTGTTCCTCCTTTCTTGAATCTTATCCAGTGTATCAACAGTGATCCATTCCTTGTGATGGT